ATCCAACCTGTCACATGACAAGGCAAAGGTGGCAAGGGATGGACAAGGGAGAAATTATGTATGAGCAAACTCCCACACTTCTTGGTGAGATTCTCAAGCTTAAAAGTTTCCTTTTAAGGAAATTCTAAACCTGGTTCAAGTAAAATATCCAGAAATCACAAATTATTCTCATAAATTACGTTAACTGTATCATTCATGGCTAATTCAGTTTATTACTGACATATTTTTCATATATATATAAAACATGTAATCCCAAGGTTTGCCAGTTTTAATTAGGAATTATTATCCCTTAATTGTAATTATCTAACATTTCATATACGTATTTAGCATCCATAAGTCCATAATTTTCAACAAAGTGCATGATTTGATGGACCCATTAAAAATTTGTGATGCGTAGTACCAAAGTTTCTAAAGATTTTTAATTTTGCATGGTACAACGCCGTTAATTAAAAATAAACGAAAAATAAAATCATATTTAAATTTTAAGATATAATAAAGGTACCTAATTGTTGGTTCCGAATGAATTCAAAATTCGAATATGATCTTGACAATTTATAAACACTGAAATTACATATTTCATTACATAACCTCATACAAAACTTATCCCCTTAAAAAAAACTGTCCCCCATCATTACTCCCTGTTCTTATCCACTTTTGCATTTCGGACGTCATCTCGTCCTTGATACAAAATTCTTCTCCCATCTTATTCCTTGTCACTCGGTCCACCATGCATTAATTAAATTAATCCCATCCCCAGAATCCGAGTGGTGGTCTCTCTCTCTCTCTCTTGCACTGCACTTTCCTCCTCCTCCTCTCCTCTCATCTCTCTCTCTCACTCACACACACACACACACATTCACTCTCACTGCCTTCATTTCATTTCATTCCAATTCTCATTCTCATTTCAAGCTTTGCTTTAGTCTCGAGCAAACTCTGCATACATTTCAAGACGTGAACTTCACTTGACTCATCGATTTATTTCCCTTTATTTCAAACCCCACTGTTTTCTCTCGCACTCACGCTGCTGCCTGGGAGAAGATTGGAATTAGAAGACACGTAATTTATAAGTGAGTGAGTAGTGAAAGTGGAGGAAGAAGAAAGAAGACGAGAAGGACGACGAAGAAGAAGAAGAAAGTATAGCAGCAGCACATGCATGCACGGGCTGTTCCATGCATACTTTACCCGTTTGCTTGCTTGTGTTCTCCTAGATGATGGTCGTCTCTTTCTCTTCTCAGTAGTCACATCCAATCCATCCACACACACGTACAATAAAACACTCAAGACTATGCAGAAGAGAGACGACGGAATCTCATCAACCCTACTGCCTAATGAGTGAGGGGGAAAGCACCACCATCGCTACCACCACCAACCAACAGATACGACGGAGACGAGGAGAAAGATGCAAAGTGGATCGTTCAGAAAGATCAGGGCATAAAAAATTTAGAAATATTGTAATATCCAAGATTTTAAAAAATTTTGGGGCTAAAATGTGAAAGCTGTAATTGTCTCATTAAGTAATTGTCCTTGGAGCGATAATTCAATCAATTTTTGCATAAAGATTTTGAACAGGTTGTGATTTATGCAACTATTTTGGGCATAATTTTGCATTTTGGTGGTGAAAGTTTTTTTTATTCGCCATATTTGTCGTGAACGGCCCATTAAAACCGTGCAGTAATTGGGTTAAGTGAAGGAAGGAGATGCAAATGTGTTGTCGGAATGTGGAAGAAAATCCAATATTTTCACTCACTCTTATCCATCCATACTCTTTGCGAAAGGAAAGGAGAGAGAAAGCGAGAGTGTGAAGAAGAGCTTAGTTTTAAACTTGTTCTCTGCTGAACACATGAGGATAAAGTGGTGATGGTGATGGTGATGATGATGCCACCTACTCAGCTCAGCCAGCTCGACTCAATCGGCAGCTAACCTGCATAATATTTTTTATTACGAAATCTTAAGAAGAAGATCTAATTTATTTCAAAGTGGGGAAACATTGACAGGCTTAAATTGACGGGGAAGAAGGGAGAAAAAGAAGTAGATAAGTAATGTATGAGGGAACGAGACACATTTTTTGGAGAGACAATCTCTTAGTTTATACGGTTTTTAAATTAGGGTGAAAGTATGTAAAAAAAGGCTGCTTAATTTTTAATAGGTGTGATTCCAAAGTTTAAGCTGAAGCACAAAAACGAGGGATCTTTTAGATCGTTAAGATTGAGTTGTATTAATTTTTTTAAATAAGGCGTTAAACTTACACAAAAATCTCTTTGTGGGGAAAGATCACAAATGTATGTAAGTTTAATTTACGTGTAAAAAATATATGCATTGGAGTCATTCTTTTCTCTGCATCACCTGCTTACGTTTTAATTTGTGTGATTCCAAATTCTAAACTGTCAAAGAAGAAAAAGCGAAACATCTTTAATGACTCTTCAAATTGAGTTGTATTATTTTTTATAAAAGACGTTAAACTTTAAAAAAAAATTAAATACTAACGTGCTTTCTTTTTTGGGGGAGATGACGCATATATGCAATTTATGTGTAACAAAGGTATATGCACTGGAGACATTCTTTCTTCCGTATGTATCACACGCTAGATTTTTAATGTGTATGATTCCAAATTTTAAACTCATATTGAGAACAAGAGAAATTCAGAATCTTAACTAATTCTTCAAATTGAGTTGTGTTATTTTTTTAATATCAGACGTTAAATTTACACAAATATCTTTTACAATTACTAATAAACTCTCTTTTTCTGGGGAGATGACGCATGCATGTATGCAATTTATCCATAAAAAAGTATGGATACGCACTGGAGGCATTCTTTCTTTTTTTCCTTCACTACTATCACATCACCCAACCTTCTTCATAATGAACTTTTCTCTATTTCTTCTTTCATTAGTGATTTGAATATTGGAGAGGAAGGATGAGGGACAGGGACACAATAGTGCAGGAGGAAGGAAAAGGGGGGAAAGTCCGTATGCATGCATGCATGCATACATGGTTACTACGAGGAGGGAAGGAAACGAAGGCGAAATAACTAATCAGCCCCTCCAGTAGTACAGCAAATGGGAATATGGGATGACAGACATGAGTGAGAATCTTTCCCTCGTATAAAACAGAAGCCGAAATTGTGTAAATGTAAATGTGCAAGGAAGAGTTGACTGAAGTTGCATCTCCCACCCTTCTCTCTGGCTGAGTTTGTTTAACTAAATGGTAAAATATTGCTGCACAATCGGCACACACGTGCGGGAGGAATATTCATGAGGGGAGATGTGTACGTATTTAATATGTGATGTGGGAGATGTGCAGGGAGCTTCCTTATCATCTCAATGGAGGGTAGATGAGAGTACGAGACGGGTGAAATTGTGGAGAAATTTGTTGTTGGTTGTGTGTAGTTATGTTTTGGTGGTGGTATTACTTTCGGTATGGGTTAAAGTCATCTTAAATTGGTGGAAGTTTAGTCGTAAATATTTTGAACATATGTCAAATTATTGATTAATGAACACCTGAGTGTGTGTGGATTAACGAGTTTCAGGTTGGTAATTGGTAATGTTGAAAATTGGGTAACAAGCTTGTAGTTTTGTCCATAAAGGTTCAATATAACTCAATAAACCCATAATGTGGTGGAACCATCTTTGATTGATGTATTATGGTTATTTAACTTTTTAATAGTTCTTTACCGGCGTACATATTTAACATGCAATTTTTTTGCAATAATTTGCAATTGCTTCTTAATTTTTGGACTTCGTTGTGCAAAACCTGTATAAACTTTCATTACAAATTTTATTAAACATATTTAAAACGGCATTAAAATGAGTGAACCACTATTTTAAAACTTACATCATTATAAAAGGTTGATAATCATTACATCCAAAAATTGAAATTAAGATTAGCACATGAAATAATTGGTTACGCAGATTTGATCCATTTTCCAATAAATCTTGTTGAAAAAACCCAAATACAAATATCCAACACGTACATATTCCTGTCATCTTAACTCACATTATATAAGAGGTCTCCTGCCTGGTTACTTACTTTTGTCCTTCTGACGTTGCCAGCAATAATAACAAGGAATGCATCAATTTCTCCATGATTATGCCGACGCTCTTACTTTCTCTCTCTCTCTCTCTCCTCATCTGCATGCAATTCGAGAGAGAGAGAGATCGAACAGTGGCGATGATCATAATGAGCGCTTGCGTTGTTTTATTCTCCTCGAGTTCCTCATATCTTTCCATTGTCTAATCGGATTCATTAATTTTGAGCGTCGCCCGTCCCTCTCTCTCTTCGTCTTCTTCTTCTTCTTCCTTCCTCTCTCACATGCTTGCTCTCTCGCATGCATACATATTTTCCCATGCAGCCTGCCAGCCTCTCCATTCCACCAAAATAATGTCTCTGCCACCACCACGCGTGTTTCTTAGCTTAGGCGGCCTTCACCCCTTCCTCCACAACTTTCTCCCCATCATCGTCTCAACAACATGCATCCATCTCCCCCCCCCCAAACCAACACCCCACCGACCGATACCATCCACTCATCAGCAGCAGCATCATCTCCTCTCCTGATTGAGAATGTTGTTTCTTTAGGGAGCACACAGACTTTCCCATTGTTTCTCCAGCAGAAACAGATTTCATGCTCTCTCCGATTTGTCTCAAGAAGGAGAAGAACACGAAATGTGTCCTTTTCCCCAACAACTTTGCATACAATACACACGTACATTTGCATACTGCAACTTTCTTAGTGAGTAGTTGAGTTCTGTTGTTTCTTTCTCAAACACATCTCACCATCCGTCCATCCATCCATCCACATGCATAAGCTTTCCATCACACCACACCACCATGCTACGTTATTAGACGCTGTTCTGCTTTTCTGAGGAAAGTTAGTTAGTCGGTGGAGTGGAGAGTAGCAGTAGTGGCAGTGGTTCTGGTGGTGGTGGTAATGGTGTTGGTATAGTTTCTCTACATAAAACATGTTCGGGTTTTACTTTTCCTTTAGAATTTAGAGAATGCCCGGGACGAGAGAGAGAGACTTTCTTCTTTCCCCTCTCTTACTTACGAAGCAACCAACTAACTTATTAGTGCACCCATCCATCCATCCAATCCATCCACAATGCAGCCAGCAAAGCACATGCATTGCAATCCTCGGTGTATGTATACATGATGCATATACATACATCGTACACTACACACGCTGCTTCCATACCACCACCACACAAGCCCGACCAACCAAGTAACCAACCAGCCAACCACCCTTTCTCTTACCCGCCCGCTTCTCTCTCCTCGTACTATTCTGCATATACATCACACTCATCAGACTCATCATCATCAGACGAATCTCAAGACTCATCAAGAAATATACGAAGCCACGCACGCCACGCCAAGCCAGGAAAGCAAGCTCTTTCTCCCTACTACTACCCGGGCAGATTTCACTCCACTTCTTCACAGCCTGACTGCTCCTCGGTTGGTCGTCGTCTCATTAGAATAATTCCTCTCTTCGCTGGAGAAGCAACATTAGTGTGTGAAGAGGCAGGGGCTTGCAGGCATTATTTTGTCAGGCGGCAGGAGGATAGAGATTGTCGTGACTTGGAAAATTTCTTGTGGTGGTGTTGCAAATTACCCCGGGGAAAGTTGGTGAAAGGTGACATTTTCTGGTCCATCCGGCGTTTTTCATTTATGTATTGGGAGAAGAACTGGGGTGAAAAAGTGGGCAAAATAAAACTGGACCGAACATCTTACTTTCACCCTCAAGATCAAGTTCACCATCCATCCATTCTTTCTTCCCCGGTGTGTTCCCTCGTCCTATTCATTCTTGGAGCGGCTACTGGGGAGAAGAAGAAAGTGAATAAAAGAAAATGGAATGCCAACCTAGGAAGAAAGTGTGTAAAGAAAACGCATCCTTCATTCTTTCTCTTCCTGCTGTCATCATTTTCAACTTAGCGGAATAGTAAACGTGGTGAGCCAAGGGGTTTGGAAGAAAGAAAGTGGGAGAATTTTTGATTTCCGAGAAACAAGATGTGATATTTTTATAAGGAAAAGAAAGGGACGACGTAAACAGAACTAAGGAGATGGAGTGAATTTTGTAACTTTAATTTTGATTAACGAAAGGCTGAAATGTATACGATTTCTTCGAAAAATAACAAAATGTAAAGAAAATATATAAAGAATTAACAAATTTATCACGGGTATTAACAAGAAATACGGAGAAGAAATGTAGATAAAAATGTAGATAAAGAAATTTAACAATATTACGACTTCAATTGAAACGGGTGTATACGATTTAATGCCTCAAATCAAATCTCATGTAAAAATATAACTCTACAAATCATACCAACACAACGCTACTACCTCAGCAACAGCGTCTACGTAAATATTTAACTTGACAGCTTTAACACACGGCTTTAACTAATTAAAAAAATAACTAAATAAAATATATATAGATCATTACTTAATCTAAAATTTAATTAATCAACCAGATTTAACAAGTTAGTAAAGTACAGTAAAACATGTCCAATACCGTCGCTAAATATTCATCTACCTCATCTCCGCGTAAAGAATCTACCTCATTCTGCCCAACACAGGAGGCAATGTGAGACTTGTATTACTCTTCTGCAATAAAATTATCTACCTCATCTCATTCGTCGGAAGAAGAAGGAAATATTTATACGGGTAAAAAATTTCCACGGGTAAAGAAACAAGAATAAGAAAAATAAAATCAATCTAAAAAAAAATAAAAATAAAATTCATACATAAATAAAAATTTAAACCTAATTTCGTCATAAGTACATAAAATTTCGTGTCTCCGAATCTCTAAAAAAAACCAGATAAAGAAAACCGAGGGGAGAAATAACATTTATAAAAAACCGGTGTTGAAATCCGAGACCGAACTGGTGAGAGTGAAAAAAGGAACTGAATCACTTTTTGGTCGGTGGTCAGTTTTACTACTACGAAGGAAGAAGAGCTCAACTCAACCAACCCACCAACTAGCAAACTTTTACTACGACCCAACTACGCACTTTTCACTACTAGTTCTCCTACTAGGAACCATACCATAGCGTTATTGGAGAGGAGCTAAACTACCAAAAAGCCGGCCCCATTCAGAAAAGAGAGACAGGAAGCTGGGACTAAACTTATACTTTCGCTCCTCGTAAAAGTACTTTCTTCTTCTCGTAGTAGACATACTTTCTCCATGATTTTCTTACTGGGTGGACACTTTCCGGGCCTATCTGCTTCTTCCTCTTCTCCCTGTTAAGAAGGAAGAAATGAATGAATGAATGAACGAATTCTTAAACGACTAACTTTCACCCACTAATTTGAGAGTAAGTTTGAAATTTTTGCTTAATTATGTATGAGTGTTGTGTATGTATCGGGATTTTTGAAATTTTGTAAATGTTTGGCGTCGTTGGTGAATATTTCTGAAAATTGGTCACATCAAATTACACAAGATCCATTCTTCCCAAGGATCTTCGTTAGATTTCTTGATTTAAAAAAGGAGTTGGAAATTTTTACAAATCTTTTAGTTCTTATGGGACAGCACAGTTCTAGAGGTGTTTTAATACATGTCGTAATTAATGAAATTTCAGGGATTTTGCTTAACTTAATTGCATTAGTGTTGGGTATGATTTTTTTAGATTTAAAATTTTGTAAGTGTTTGGCATCGTTGGTGGATATTTTTGAGAATTGGTTACATTAAATTACATCAGATTTGAATCTGTTTCCTTGTTTCTTGTTTTGTTTCATTATATTTTTTGCTAAAGAAGCCAAACAACAATTGTAAATTTGTCAAATATTTTGCATAGTGCTAAAGAGAAAGCACAATTTTAAATGCATTTTATTATTAATTGTAATTAATTACGTTTCAGTAATTTTGATTTACTATGTATCAGTGTTATGCATGAAGTTTTTTTGTTTTTAAAATTTTGTATATGTTTGCCATCGTTAGTGTATATTTTGGACAATTTGACATTTCACATTAGACAAGATGCATGATTTATACAATATTTAGTTTGTTGCGTTTTTCTGTCAAAAAAACAATTTAACCAATCTTTTAGTTCTTATGTGTGAGAAAGAGAAAGAAGGCATTTTATTACATCTTGTAATTAACGAGTTTTCAATTAAAGTAATCAATGTTTCAGGGCGATTTTTTTAACCTGTATAAATCATACGTTGTACAGTCATCGCCTTAAAAAAGGGTAGTTCCATTACATATTGAGAGGTATTTATTTCAGATTAAAATTGAAATTCAGCAACTTTTTATGATGCCTTTACAAAAAATAAATGCTGACTTTTTATTCAGCGTTTGGTTAGTCCTAGATTCAGCACTTTTTCTTATTCCATGTCATTAAGTAAATCATCACACGTACATATAATACACTACCTCGTGTCGTATCTCTGATACGACATAACTCATCCAGTATTAAATAGAAGACTGAAACGAATCTAGAAAATTATTAGATGAAAAACCTGCTACTCAGATTATGTCGTCGTGAAAGTAAATAAATATCAAATAAGCAGAAAAGTGTCAAGTATGCAAAAATGGAAGGTGTATTTTTATCTCTTTATTAATTTGATATTAACCTCGAAATTATCGACATAAATATAAAACTAGACTAAACATTTATGAACAAGAGTAACATTTTTAAAAAATAAAAATTCTTCATAAAAAGCAGCGAGAATTTTTGGTTCAAAATTTTTTCACCTGGACTGATTTAGAAAATAACTGACAATTAAATACATCCCATAATTTACCAATTAACTCAGCTTAATTAATGCCTGTCTCAAATTTTCACCCGACCACTTCTTTACCACAACCAATTCTCACTTACCCTTGTAACCGATAATATCCAATTTACATATTTGCATAATTCTCTCTCTCTCCTTCCCTGCTTTCACTTACTTACATATCAACAATGCAACTTTCCCAAATCATGGAATCGATACAATTTCAATCAGTCTTGTCCAAATCAATTATCCCCCCAGCCTCGTTACCATTCTCTCCTCTCACTTATTCCTCTGCTGTCGGTGCATCCTCAATAATTCAAATTATTACAAACATCACCACCGTATTGTATTCTGTCTCGCACTTATTTGCATACATCTTAGTTAATATGTGGACTGGATTGATTAAAGAGAATTGGCCATCCATGATACGATACTGATGCACAATTTCATTGATTTAAGCAACCTCCTCCTCTGCCCTGCCCTGTTTACTTACTTGGCTCACTTATTCACTTATTCACCACGTCAATTCATTTCGGTTTTGCTGATTGATTTCATCACGGAGATAAATGCTCACTCGCTCACTTATTATCCATCCTCACGTCGTGCCTGTTTTCTGTCGATGTGTGTGTGGATGTGCATAAAATAAACGGTTGGTCGGCTAACTAAGTCGGGCAGATATTAAGTACAAGTCAAATTACAGCGTCATGTTGTTGCCTCCATTTTCCGTAATGACAGGAAACCGTTGTGCAGGCAGGTTGAGACGAAACAACATAACTTTCACTTATTTATTGATGAACGAACCAATCCAGGCAGGCATCGTCGGTTTGGTGGATATGTTGCATGATGAGAGTTATCCTTTATATCTGTATGCATCATGTATGAGTGTGAGTGAGTAAATGTTGGGTGAATATGTAATAATGTGCGCATATGTACATATAAGGGGAAACTTTACCCAGAATTAGGAATGTGGAGAGAGAGAGAGAGAAATTGATTTAGTTAAATTGGAATTAATGATGTTTGTTCGTTCCTTCGTTCGGGAGGTGAGAGAGGCAGAATGGAAACAAGACACATGGTTTCGGAGAGAAATGCAGCACGTTTATAATCATTATGTTTTTGATACGATTAAATATGCAAATTAGAGGAAAGTACTGTAGAATGAAATGGGTTTTGATTATTTATTAAGGTGGGTGGAAATTTGTGAAAAGATATGAGAAGAGTTGTGAATGGGTGAGAGTAATTTGGTTTGTATGTATGTGAGACATTAGAAATTGGTTAGTTCTTAATGTGTAAGTAAAATTTGGGGAATTTAAGGAAATTAATGTCGAATTTTTTAATTTGAGAAAAATTTGGAAGAGCTAAAGTCCAAAATTAATATTTTTATTATTGAGATTTTACACATTAATTTTTAAAAAGATTTGTTTCTACTCATGAAATAATTTTTTTATACGTTTCATTTGAAAATCCATAAATTTAAGCATGAAAACTATGTATTTCGTCGAAAATACTTATTATTCGAAAATTTGAACGTAAAAGTAAAAAAAAACATACTTTTAAGCTGATTAAATCTCATTTTTGAATCCGCCCTCCCCACCACAAATTTCTCTCCTGATTTGAACTAATAATTAGCAATTCTCGCTTTGTTGTTTCAGCAAGATTTGTTTGTCTGAACAAATAATAATAATAATTTGAAATCCCCAAATATTGGACGTATCGGTTTGGTCTGGTCGGTCGGTTATACGCCGTTCTGCGGCGAATTAGTGGTACTGACTGTGGTCAAAAGCTTCCCATTTCCGTGTAACCAAAGTAAAGCCAGGTCTCTAATCTCATTAATCCATCATCCAATTCAATCAACCATTATTATCCTCACCAACTCGCCAACAAAACCAACAATCACCAACCAACCAACCAACCACCCCAGTAAATAAAACCAGAGAGACAGGAATAAACACATCATCGTTTATTTTGATGCCTGGATCGGATTAAGGGTTCAATTCGAGACAAAAGGAGCTCCTAGAGTTTGTGTATTGATGAAAGGATACGGGTTAAATATTGACCACTTCAACCTCAGATTGTACGCTGATCGTAATAAATTGATCTTTGAACATTAGTCGCTTGTACAAATCGGACTGATGTAATTAATTACGATTGAAATATTAAGCCCCGTCCACGGTAAATAATATGCACGGGTTCAATCAAAGACTAACGGATTAAGTAAGTTTTAAGTAGTTTGATACAAACAATTCACCAAAATTGTGTCCTGATTCCAGATAATCTCATGATAGATTTGGATATAAACCGTTGAGAAATATTTTAATTTGGCTCTAAAGTCTAGCAAAAATAGAAATTACATTTGTGAATTTTTTGCAATTAATGGTAGTGTAAAATTTCGAAGTGAATAATTTCAGAAATTTTATAACTTTAGTTTCGCTTTTTATTAGTTTGTGTAAAATATTTGGAAATAAAATCCGGTAAAATCCAAAATTCAACAAGAACCGTAACAGTTTATAAACCTTTTAACTAATAAAATAGCCAATTATCCAAATTGAGACTTCAAAATACCACAATTTTCTTTTAAAAAAAAGTAACCGTTTATAAACCTTTTCACTAATAAAATAGCCAATTACTCAAAATACAAAATTGCGACTTCAAAATACCACAATTTCAAAAAAAGTATATTTCCTTATCTCAATTTTTCTCCCTCACCTTATCACACATCAATTTTTACCAATCCTTCAAAAAACCCAGCCCATTATACTTGCTCACCATTTAGCCCTCATCTCCAAAAAACTCGTCACCGACATTCAAAAAATCCATGCAGAAAACGCATAATGCACTTCTCGTCCATCCAATCCCATTCATTTCATCTCTTTCATTTCACCTCCTCTTCCCTGTTTTCTCCCTCTTTCTCTGCTTCCTCATTGATTATCGGATCTCTTAGTTGGCTTTCCTTGGTGGAATCTAAAAGTAAAACTAAAACAAGACCAGACCACGCTTACATTACGTAACATTATATTCTACGTTTTACAGTATAAGATTGGATCATTCACACACAACCCTTCCGTTCCGTCGTCGTCGTCGTCCCAACTTTCCCCCACAATCTCGCACTTACTTACACTTACTGAATCCTAGTAGCACTTTGATGAAGGAAATGAGTATGCCGCATGTGAAGCCGTGATGTGATGTGGAGAGAGAACAAAGGCCTGGTTGGCAGGGAATGAATATCTTTGCGTTGAGATTTCGGTCGGTGTGAGTGGTGCAAGTTAACCTTTCCAAGCTGAATGGCTGTAGGAGAGAGAGAGAGATTTTAATGAGTCGTCCATTTTGGAGACAATACTCCACCAAGAAATGGAGACCTTTTGTCCCCTTCTCTCTCTCTCACAAACTCGACACAATAATTCAATTTCGATATTCCTTCTAATGCAATATGACATTCTAATTCGAGCCGAGACAAAGGAGGAAAGGGAGAGAGAGAGAGAGAGACGTGTAAGTGGGCTCGATAAATTTTAGAGATGATGAATTAATAATGAATTGAATGGGAAGAAGGAGAAGTGTTGTATACAGAGAAAAATTGGGTAAAGTTGATGTTGTATTATTTTAGTAAGTTGCGAGGAAAGTTAATTTGAAGGTGAAAGTTGGGTTGAGATTGTAAATAGGAATGATTGGGACTGGGTATTTGTGCAGGTTAAAAGTTAGTTAATTAGGTTTTTAGATTTAAAGTTAGAGTTAGATAAAGTGCAGCTTTATATAACTCGGTTTTGTATGTTCTTAATTTCTAAGGTCAGTGAGAGGGTTACGCACTTTCAGACCTCTTGACCAGTTATTTTGTAAAATTGTGGATCAATTTCCCGTACAAATTTGTGATTTTTTAACCAATTTTTGAAACCAGTTGTTGGATCTCTCTAGAAAATCACTTATAATTAACAGATTTCATACACACTTTCACCCATCTATAGATAATTGCCTTAAAAACCTTTACCTTTAAATCTCTACACAAAACCATTATTACAAATTCCCACTTTCCCAATTGATTCCTGATCTGCTAAACATACCCACCCACATATTTCTCAAAATTTCACCCTAAACTTTGTCCCAAGTTTGGCCACCTAGCCATAATTCTTAATGATCCTTAACAACTATAATACGACAACTTTCCCCTTAAATTCCCCACCGACCGATCGACCGACCCAGCCGTTTTAATTTTAATCTCGCAATAATATCGCCATGAAACTGCTTTCTACTTCGTACCCCATCCTTATTGTTTTGTTTGTTGGTACATAAAACATGGGATCGTCTCCGATGCAGAGATGCACATCCTCCATCCATCCCTTGACATTTCACATCAACTCCATTATTCCACTCATGTTGGCTCGCAGAGGGAGAGAAAGAGAGATGTAGTTGTTGAGGGTTATATAACACAGGAGAGAGAGAGAGAATTTTGTTCCGCCTCAGCCTCTCATTTCCTTACTTTACTCCTTCCCTCACTCACTTCTTGTATGTGTGTGTGGTGTGTGTGCAATAATTATATTTTGTAAATGATGTGGCTCCCGGAATACGGAAATAATGCATGAGTTGTGTTCAACCAGGAAGCAAAACCGGGCACTAACAAACTCACCCTCTCAAAAACTTTCGAAAGGAGTGGGACCCAGACCCACTCAAGCGCCTCATTTTCTACACAAAATTACTGAATGACGGCCCAATTTTAGTTTTCTTTTGGAAGGGATAAAGATTTCGTTTTAAATTTTGATGTTTTTTAATTCTCGAAATGGGGCTAGGAGAGTGGGTGACATGCTTAAAAATATGTTGTGAATGTCAGATTATGTATGAGAGAGAGATATATAATTTGTATGTACATCTATTCCTCCCTAAGTATTTGCATAGGAAGAGAGAGAGAGAGAAGGGTCGTGAATTTCTATTTCCTTGACTGAGCCAGATTTTAATTGAATTTTGCAGGAGGAGAGAAAGCAAAGGGATCAACAACATTGCTGCTGTGAGGAGAAAGAGAGGTGAAGTATACGTACATACATTCTGAACTCTATAAGTGCTAAGAAGGAAGAAGGAGGGCTTGAATTCGGCAGCAGCGGACTAATTAATAATCAATAACATCGTCCTCTCATCATCACTGCTGCGACGACTGCCAACTAACTAACTAACAAGCACCACCAAGTAGTAGCAGGAAAGTAGTCTAGTAATATGGCATCTTCTCCATCAGACGTAGAAATAGTAGCACCACCACCACCACTCGTATTACGGGAAGAAGAACCACTACCATCTTCCCTTGATAAGCACCACCACAATTTGATGATAAGCCCGGGTCGCGAAGGGTCAAAAATAGACGAACCCGTCACGACGACAAGTATGTCGTCATCCTCGTCAATGTCGCTAGACGACAACATGTTACAGGTTACATCCTTTCCTGGAAGAGAAGGTGGTGAAGATAATATTTCGGTAGATTTAACCCAGGTGAGAACTCACCCGGGTGACAATTTAGTAGATTCGTCCACCCGGAGAAAGCGGAATTTTCACCGGAGAAAAAGCGACCCCGTTACGTTGAAGAAGATTCCAAAAATTGAGCCACAATCGGATCCAGAATCTCGACATGGGACACAAATCAGCGATTTTAACAGTAATAAAATTGGTAGGGCGGATGGTTTCGTGCCATTTTTGATGGACGATGAGGAGGACGATGATGACGACGAAATTGTAAAAGATGACGATTTCACGAGGCGACGACGTCTCCTCTCAATGTCCACGACGACGAGTGGGCGAACTAGGAGTAGAAAGTCGTCGACGTGTCGCCAAAAATTGCAAAAAATTTCGCCACCGCCGCCGGTAAAAGAGAGAGATCCGGAAATGTATCATTTTCACTGGAAGAATCACCTCCCTCATATTTTGTCCTCGTTTGAATCTCTCCTCGGACAGGAAACCTTCTGCGATGTGACGCTCATTTGCGACGATAATGATCACGACGACCTCATCGTGCCGTTGAAAGCTCATAGAATCGTGCTGTCGGCGTGTTCCGAATATTTTGGGAGGATGCTGGCCGAACATCCGTGCAAACATCCGGTCATCGTGTTGAAGGATTATGCAGCCTGGGAGGTGAGGGCCCTCTTAGAATTTATGTACCGGGGGGAAGTCGTCATAGGGCTGGACAGGGTGGATGCGTTGATGAAGAGTGCGAAATCGTTGGAGGTGAGTATTTTTATGGATAATAATTTTATTAGTAAGAATGGAGGTCGCTCAGCGTATGGTCTCCGATTTTGGCCAAACTAGTATTAATCGATCACAAATTTAATTAGTATGACATTTGCGAAAGACACGATATCCCAATGGGCACGTGTGCCGCAGATATTTGCATCCGAATAGGAGAAAAAGGGCGGTATGTACAATTAAGGAAATTAAGGAAAGTATCTGTATGTACAATTTTTGTCAACTTTAAGGCGCACTTTCTCCTCTTTGGATGCAAATATCTCTGCACGATGTGACCATTGGGAGATCGTGCCTGTTGTAAATTTTACATTAACTCAGTTTGTGACCAATTGACATTAATTGTAGCTTGGTCAAAATCTGAGACTATACTCTTGGGAATCTTGATCATACTCCTCAATTTTAAGTGTTTTTTGTGAACAATGTTTCCAATTGTTTAAAATACAAGTTTTTACAAAAATGTATAAAAAGTCTAAATATGTAAACATATTAATTTACATATATTGTCGTTGTATGCATGTATTGTGTCACCTCAAGAAATCAACTGTTCCCACCTTCCTAAGAAACCCCATCCCTGCTAAAAAGAAAGTACTTCCAAATCTTATTAAACAAGGTGTTCTTCTTCTCCTCTCTCGCCGAGGTGTTTCACTTTCTCACCAACAATTTCCTAATAAGCGGTCGCTCTGTATATATAATTCCGCCCTCAGCAATTTGACGTCTCTCTCTCTCTTACACCGTTTATTCTAAATATATTTTCTCATAACTTTCTCCTCTCACTTTCTCCTTCACAACATTCATTTCCATCCCATCCGAAATAAAATATGCACAATTAACCAACAACCTGACCACACAATCAGCCTTCTGTCCAACCAAATTTCCATCTCCCTCTCAAACAATATCTCCACGTCATTCTTGATCCCACCGAAGTCGGGCTTGATTTCATTATTAATTCAAAATCAGGGCACTTTGTATTCAATTTGATTCAATTTATGTGTCCACTTGAAATAATAATAACAAAAAGGATCCTCTCTCTCTCATTCATTGTGTTTCTCTCGTGGGTGGAAATTCCTGTGATTCGAGGTTTTCAAATATCTAAATGAACGGTGGCATTCATTATATTATTCGTTCCCGTTATTATTATTATTATTATTGTCTCAAGGAAAATGTTGACTTTCTATCTGTCTCCCATTGTTGTGGGTTGGTTGTGATTCGTATCATAAATGTTATGTTGGTCGGAGAAGGAGAGATATGATGATGCCAAGAAGTATGAAATAAATGATGATGACGGTATGTAACGTAACGATGATGTGAAATGATTAGGCGAAAGAGGAGAGAAAGCGGGCCGTGGTGGAGAGATTCATGTCTTTGCATTCGTTTCATGGCTGCTGGATTCAATTTTGTGGTGTGGTTTGGCTCCCGGGTTGGATGAAGATTATGGAATTTGCTATTAAAATTAATATGTAGATTTCCATCCAAGGGTGATGGTATCATTTCTGGTGGCGGTCGGTGGATGAGTGAGTTAGTATTTTAGGAATGTACCGCAGAGTAAATACTATTTAGTTAGGAGGAGGAGGATGCTTTGAATGGTGTGAGATTTCGGGATTGTGTAATTGAGAATGCGATGCGATTGTGTGGGAGGTTTGTGAGTGAGTGAGATGATGAAATTTTAAGGGGTTTGTTTCATTGTTTATTTATTGGGGAGTGTTATTCAAGTGGGGGCAGAGTTAGGGGTATGGGTGGTAATTTTTATGAGGAAATGGGAAATTTGTGGAGTTTTTCGGTCATTTTTATGTACGTGAACTGTCGTCATATTACAGTTTAATTATGGCGACTAAATACAAGTTTATCATTTGGGGGGCGTGATGATTCATGAAAATTTTGTAAAACGTAAATGCCAACTAGGAATTTTATGAAATTTTGCATTCAATATTTTTTTTTATATGTAGTCCGTGGGTATCTTACAGCTTAATTATGACGACTAAATACAAGTTTATCATTTGTGGTGTAAGGGCTTATAAAAATTTTAAATTTTGTTAAATGTTGATAGAATATAGGATTTTCACAAAAATCGTCATACATAAATCATAAAATAATTGTAGAAATCATACAACCAAATCTTTAGTAAAAAAATGTCCTGAAAAAGTGAAATTTTCTCCACATTTCAGATTCGAGGATTAACCGAAGCCCTCCTGGAAAACGCGTTCCGCACCAATCTTCCCAAACACCCTAACAAACAAGTCAACAGCAATAATACTCCTGCAGAACTAAGCAACCACAAACTCCTCCTGGTTCCAGACTCCTTGCCCAGCACCGCGCTAAATCTGTCCCATCATCCACACCACACCCTCTCTCGACGCCACAACCTGCGCCACAACCATCTCGTCGAGGAGGAGGGCGACCTTTTACGACATCACAACAACTTCACTTCCGGTCCTGAATTGGAGTCGTCCTTCGGAGAAAGTTCCCCACCCACGTCGGACGACGCCACTCCACTCTTGGATTTGATAGATCTCAACAACTCAAAAAATCAGGCCCACTTCCACCACAACAGTCTCATCATGCCCCGGAGAAAGCAGGCCCGACCGAGGCGACGATCGGGCGATTTTATAGCACAGGATTTGAGAAAAGTAGTTCCCAATGAGGTGGTGGGAGGCAAATTGATGAGAAATGAGATAAATAATGACGAAAAGCTGTATGACGAGGAGGAAGATGACGACTCCTTGTGCGGGGGGAGGGGCAGCTTTGATGAGGACAGTTTCGAAGAAAACTTTAGTTCGGGACGGGGGCAGAATCGACTTTTATCCGAAAAGTTTGGGAGCACCGGGGGCGAAATGAGTTTCTCGGGGGAACGGGATGTGGATGACGAGGAAGAGATGGAAGAACTACTTCCGCCGAGGGGAAAGTCGTCGTCACCGTCACCTCGACACGATGGGGACGATGACGAGAAGGATGAGGATCGTTTAGAGGAGGAGGACAACATGGGGGACGATGACCAAGGGATTATTGACTATACGATGCCACCCATTGCAATTGTGGGTGGAGGAGGAAATGGAAATAAGGCGACACGTGGGGGGATGAATGAGCATGTCGAACCGGGTGTAACGTCGGGATGGAATGATTCCTTGCAACATAGGCATCTCGCATTTTTGCGGAATTATAATTTAGCCATGGCACAAAGTGGAAAGGTGAGACGAGGAATAAATTTACAACATAAAATTGACATGATCTCTTCAATTTTAAGAAATTCTCCCTAATTTTTTCGTAAAATTTTCAAATTCCAGTTGGCCAAATTATCCGAACCCGACATGGACGAGCAACACCACCCTCATCATCACCACCACATTCATAACCACCCCCACCGACGGGGCTCTTCCTCTTCTCCCTCTCCTACCAAACCACCCCATCCCTTCCTCCCCCGACCTGACCAACTCCTCTCCTCTTTCCCCTTCCTTCTCCCAGGTCTGCTCCCCCACAACCACCACAACAATGCCCCCCACCCTCAAACCCGGCAGCTTCCTCTCCCATTCCTCCTTCAGGAGATGGTCGATCCTCAACCGGAAGTATTAAACACAACAATCGAACCAACAATTCGCCATCCACCCCGCCCACATCGCTCCCACTTCCTCCTCCTCCCCCAGGAAACAGCTTCCTCTCATCCACCGGCGCCATGTCGATCACACCATTAAGCGGCGGCGGCAGTGAGGGCCGACGTAGTGGGGACGACAACACACCCACCACAAATCTCTCCCCAGCGCAGTTTTCACCCTTGGGGCTGACAAACCATCACCCCCCACATCCCCATCCCCACCACCATTTCGGGATGGACGAACCTGGTCGTCCTTCTTCCCAAGGGGGGCGAAATGGGCGGAAATATGGGAGTGGAAGTAGTAACAAGGAAGACCGCGGGGGTCATCACCACCCTCACTGGCCCGGACTTCCGCTCGGACCTCCCCCAATTTTTGGGAGGCATCGAGCCCAACACAGCGCCCCGCGGGGAGGTGAGCTTTGGAATTGTGGAGTAACAATTAACTGGTTATCTTTAACTTATCGGCTTTTTTCAGGACCACCCCGCGCATGGAGTAACTCCGACTTGACCGAGGCCTTGCATAACGTGTGGAATAAAAAGATGACGACATCACAGGTGATAAGATCATATCGTGTACTATTTCCTAGTAAAAATCCGCACATAACTTTACCACATTTTATTAAATATCACAGGCCTCCCGCATATTCGGCATCCCGTACAACTCTCTCTTAATGTATGTACGTGGCAAGTACGGCAAATCTCTCAAGCTCGACGTCCTCAAGAAAGGTCTCGACCAAGCCATGGAAAATTCCAACAACATCGCCGCTGCTGCAGCCGCTGCCGCCGCAAATTTAGGATTTTCCGGTAACGGCAACCCGACAACAACCACTTCGTCGTCATCATCTTCTCACAAAAATAGTAACAACAACAATTCATCGAGGTCAAAAACATCGCCATCTCCACAACCTGGGAATCACAATCAGCAACAACAACAACCTCTGATATCCTCGTCGGTAACGGCCCTTCTGCAATCTCTGCATCACAACAATACCAACAAATTGGCTGAAGCAAATAATAACAATAATTCGGAAAATGCTCAGAAAATGGGGTCGAAACATCATCGATCCTCGATCCACAATCAGAACGGGCAGGCGGAACAACAAGGACACCTTCCGCCACACCCGTCTCCAGATCATGGCGTAATTCCGACGGGATTTAATCCCTTTTTTTTCAGGGACTTTGAATCAAATCCATTTTTACATCACATTCTACCTCCGCATGTCCTGGGACACCCGAATTAAGTAGGCGTGACTGACGAGGAATTTGTAATAATTTATACACAAAAAAGTATGTAGGTGAGTGTGAGTGAGTGTTTATTGGTAATATGTAAGTAAGTGGTAGGTAGATAGGAGTGGATACTAGCGTTGTTTATGTAATTGTACTCAATACTAACTCTGTGATGATAAATAAAAATGTTGTTGCGAGTTGTATTCAATAAATTGTGGTAGAACAGTGTCGTGTAAAATTGTTTTTTATATTTTTCTCTTTTTCCCATCATATTTTATGAATAAGGAGTTAGCAAATCTACTTTTTTTAGATTTCCATATCTCTTAATTCGCTCAAAATTTCCGGAGCGATCTTGAAAGAATGCGTGAATGTCCTCTGAACATTTTTTACATAGATTGTCTCAGAAAATTTTGACCCAACTCAAGAAATCGAGAAAGTTACGGAAATTTTGAAAACGCACATAGGTTTGATTGATTACAGTCTAATATCAATTCTACTGGCTTGCTGCCATCAACTGAAGACATAATTTCGCGTTGAATTTCTATTTTAAAATGGGTTTTCCATAAATAAAATAAATAGCTTGCATTAAAAATGAACATGTCCAGGTTACAAACTTATTCCAAACGCTCACAGATAACGTATGAATACTATTTTTATTTTGTAAAAGTTGGTAAAAGTATTTTCTCGGTTGCAAAAAAATTACTTGGGAGATATGTATCGCCGTTTTAATAAGCTTTCAAAAATTTGAAGCAAAAAATGAGATCGAATTAAATGAACACTCTTTGTCAGAGATTTTGGAATGCCCAAATTTTATAAAATTTTAGTACAACGCCAAATTTTATAAAATTTTAATACAACGCCAAATTTTGCAGCACGAGTTGACATACCTTTATCGTTGACAAGTTTACATTTATTATTTACAAAATATCACATTTGACGTCAACCTCTTTCTAAAATCATTAACAAAAAATATATACATTTCCTCTCTACAAATCTTCAAATTCATTTCTTCGTATATAAATATGCTTTGAAAAAATAATGCGACTGATAAAAGTTGATAATATTATATTTGCAATAGCTTAAACCACAAACTCAAATTACGTAGATCATCGTCTAATTAATTTACATGCGTAAAACTAGATCCTAAATTAATGAACAGATATCGAATTTTTTTAAATAATACAATTCGTCAGCTTTTGTTCCTGTTGGTCAAAAAAATATTCCAACTGTTCGAAAGTCGGTCTCTCTTTGGGATTAAATTTCCAACAATTTTTCATCATTTCATATCTAAAATCGCACATCATCAAAAAATATTGCATAATGTTTAACCATAAATATTTTTAGTTTTCAAATCTTTCTTACATTTCCAGACTCGCAAATCTCGGTCGTTCCAACTGAATCTCTCCGGATTTCAACCGTTGTACGAAATCATCGCAATAATTCCAACCCCCATATGGCAGTTCAGCACAGGAGAAATATTCCCAAATTGTGACACTACGTATGAACAAAATCGTAGGAAAATAAATATTTATGGGAAAAATTACGTATGCAGATTTTCATTACTCACCCAAATGACCAGGAGTCAGATTGTGTCGAGAAATGCAAGTCAGTCAGAGATTCGGGAGACATCCACCTAAATAAATAAGTAAATTTCACCTGATAATTGTCCATCAACAAATTAATTAGATTGGAAAATGACACAGTTAACAGTGATAAAAATCCCACCTGAATGGGAGAGGCCCCTGAAATGCACATTTTAAAAATCAATTACTTAATAAATCATTTAGATATTTTGCAAAATTTTATGAATTTTAATTTTACGTATTAAAATACTTACATCGTCCTTCTTAACGTATGCGCTATAATTATAAAGCTGACGAGATAATCCGAAATCCGAAATTTTAATTCGTCTATCTTTCGTAAGGAGGATATTTCTCGCGGCTAAATCTCCGTGGATTATCTATTTATTATCATTTCAAAATTTAATTACTTCAAAAATTCGAGTTTATTATAATTGCCTACCTTTTTTCTCGCCATGAACCCCATCCCACTCGCAGTTTGTTTCGACCATTTCACAAAATCCGAACTTCCGACCACCGTTGAAGACATGGACATCGATCCGTACGTGACGTAGCTGGAGAAGAAACGTCATATTTTTTTACGAAATCGATACCAAATTAATGCAATCATACTAATTACCCATTTCTCGATCCTGAATTCGTACTCGTCAAACAATTTAACCGATCCGTTAACACTTGTGCATAGTACAGTTCGCGATTTGACTGCAAATAACTTGCCATACTTCCTAGATGACATAACTCCACGATTATGTAGAGTTGTCCTGGGTAGAAGAATCAATTTTGAATTATTTTTACCGAAAACGTTATTAGTAATTAATAATTAATATGAGACTAACTGTTCTTAATTTCTGAGGTGCAAGCTCCAATTAAGTTGACAATGTTTTCATGATAGCCGATGCACGTCATAATCTTGAGTTCGGTAAGGAGTGCTTTAAAATACGTCACGTCGACATTATTCGCCACCGTTTTTACTGCGACGACCACGTCTTCCTGATTATTTTGGGGGGATGAGAGGATCGCTTTGTGCACGATGCCGTATGCCCCCTGACCAAGGAAATTGTTGTAATCGTCGTTTAAGAAATTGAGACGAGAGAGAGGAATTTCGAAATCCCATTTGTAACGCTGGCCTAATTTTCAAAAATTTTTCTTCACGGATTATTTTACGAAATTATTTTCTAAATACCTTCATATTCGGAATTTTGGAGTAAATTTGGGCCTTTATCTCCATCGAAAAACTGTTCAATTTCTTCATCCGATAACTGTCGCAAAGCTGGATTTAGTACTTCGCTCCGTCTCATTTCCTTCACGTAGCAAATTGTGACCCAAAAGAAGTAAAATTTGTAGAGCATGAAGCCAAGGAACGCGGTCATCGTGGCGGCTTGAAACCATCGGATAAAAATTGTGTACAGAGTAAAGTTTAGGATGCACAAGGCGTGAAGTATTCCCGCAATGGTGACGCAGGTCAGGACGCCGTTAGTTCGACGCTAAATTTTAATTTATGCAGGAATTAATTAAGTAGTTCAGCTTTATATTTTTGTGACAATATTAGTTAAGTAATACTCACTTGGGAGGCATATGTAAATAACCTTTGCGACACAATGATTGATGTAATGGCGTAAACGTAGGAATATCCCCAACTGGCGAGACGAGCTGTTGATCAAAATCGTAAAGATTTAGTATTATAATTTATTGCTAATTTTTTATGCGTAATTAACTTTATATTTGAATTTCTTGTATGAAAATTAAGCTAAAAAACAGAATAAAAACAAACAAACCGTAAAATCTCCAAGATCCGGTCTCTCTCTCCTTTTGCAAGTCTTTCAAAGGCAGCACGAATATTATGGCAATCGTCCCCACGGTCATCATGGCGAATTCAACTCCCTGATAATTTAATGAATATGACAAATTCAGAAAGGTTTTGAATTTACTAATCTTAAAAGAATTTACATAAATATCTACAGCTTACAGCTTCCACAACCGATAACGCTTTGACCCCTCCTTGAAGAAAAAGCCCCATGCAAGGCTTTCCCAAACTCATGGACGATGAGTCACCGGAAGATGCCGATCGTGTCATTTTGCAAATCAAATTTATCAATAGATTTATTTAATTGTAATTTATTACCCAGATTATTGGTCTGTTGTAATGTCGCTTAATTGTCACTGAAGAAGAGTAATCAAAATGCTGGAACTTTTTATACCCAATTTTGTGACATCGGACCATGTTTTTCTGCGTCACAACAGAACTTTTTTTAGACTGGGATTCAAACAAGGAATTTTTATGATAAGATTACACAGTTTGGGTAAAAAATTGTAGTTATGTATTTCTAACATTCCGGGCAATGTGGATTTATTTACTAGTTGTCATCACACAGTTATCATCAAGATTGACTCCGCAATATAATCTGCACATGTGTTTGTTGTGATTCATTTATGATATGGTGACATTTACAAACATTAGATATCGTAAACTATACATGTACAATAGCAGAGTTTTCTGAATGATGTGATTCATCATATTGCCTAAATATGAACTTGACAGCATGGCCTGACCACCGATGACTGACACAATATCAGCAATTGCATAGGAAACTAACGATAAGTTAACAACGCAAAATACGAACCGAGATAACGGATCGGCCGATATAAATTGCGTTGCGTTATAATAATTCCTTTGTCCTGTCTCATCTATATTTTCTAAGAATTGTATTTACCGACTAAATAATTTATTCGGATAAAATATTTCGTCCGATTAAAATTTTTTAACGTATGTGCGTCATACCAGCAAATCTACATAGTTGACAGTGAATATAATGTTTCTGCATTTTGGTGCATCTTCATCCACTCTTCGTAATTTTTCTTAGTGTCTCTTTTCCGGTCATTTATTTATTTATTTATTTATTTATCAATTCCTACTCGTATGTTAAGCCACAACATGAGTAGGGATTGATAAATATGGTTGATGGTAAATAAATATCCGGAGTCATTACAAATGACCCAACTTGAGATATCTAAATATCTTTATATACGATTATATATAATGTGTATTTTTTGACATATTGACAAAGTTGCAAAATGAGATAACTTTCATACATTGAGGATAACGTTGAGAAGTTAAGTTAGCTGTCAGGTCAGGTCAAGTTATAGATAGGTCAGTTGCATAGTATTGAATGCAAAAATTGTTTTTAACGTTATAATGCATTCATGTTACATGCGTATGTTTGAAAAGCGATAAATAAATAACACAAGCCATATACTGCAATGGATGGTCTTAAAAAGCCCAAACTTTGATCGGCTATTTGGTAAATATATAGTTTTGATACATGTCAACCTCTGCGTAAAATAGGATGCTAATTTTTTGCATTGCAGTTTGACCATCTCTTCTCAACAGTTCTTTATTAAGCATTTAGTCAAATATTTTTAAAAATGTTTTCTAGAACGGGCCCTTTACAACTCGTGCTTTGCATGATTATCTTTCCCTTTTTGTACTCCGTGACGCTAGTCGTGTTCGTAGTTAACGAATCTGTGAGATTGGTAGTGCGGATAATTCTGCGAGTTCAATTTGGAGACGACGTGATTTTAATTGAGGATGGGTGTGACGCCTTCATAACTCAAGATATAGAAGGGCAACTTCACAATGCAACTATATTTTTCATAGTACCGAAGGTAATGGACTTATCAAGTTTTAACTAAAACTATAATGAGAAATAGTGATCCCCCAAGTTGTTAGTATTTAATAAACAGGGCAGCCTAACACCTAAAAATGTTGCGGAATTTTATGAAGCGAACGTTCAAAACTTCGTGGAGAAGAAGACTGGTCGGAGAATATACGCCAAACTGGAAAACATAACTTCTTCCGCGTACGGATACATGTGTTGGCGCCGCGATCTTAATTTTAACGTCCGGAACCACATTATCCAACAGGACACGGAAACGGTCTTTACCAAGAAGACGTTGACGGAACTATATACGAAAGAATATAGTAGTCCGCTGCCTGACTCAAAACCACAATGGCAGATTAGCATCATTCCCAAATATGATGGTATAAATTAAATGTTTTTTTTTCGAATTTTTGTCTAATAAGTGAGTCAGGGATTATGTCATGATTTTCCGTCTGACTATCGCTTCGTAAAACTTACCCAATTAATTTGAAATATCTAGAATATGTATGCAAAATTAGGAATCAAGTTCGATGATGACCAAAATCTTTCGAAAAACAAATAAATCGGGGTAAAACCAGTAATTCCCCCCAAATATATATCGATCATCTCAATACGTTCTCCCTTAATCCTACTGACACACGATGACTCCGGGGGTTTCGCCCTATAAAAAAATTGTGGGGGTGGTACCCACCCACTCACCTCGATTTTTAGTAACAGCCTGACTCGGGCTAATCCTAATTAAGTAACGTTGAACTGCCGGTTTTATATACCTAATTATGTATTATTTATTTACGTACTATTAGATGGGAGTGGGGCGATAAAATCAATCCTGCACTTGTACACGAGGCACAACTACATGGACGGCATTTCTGCAGCCATGATATGGAAAAATTGCTTCTGTCCAACCTCTGAACTTGGACTTGATCCAGTTACATTTAAAGTTTCTCTCGTTCTCAATTTTCTCATGCATTTAAAAAGTTTTTTCTACTTACCCTTGTTTTTCTTCGCACTTGCATGGGAGCGTCACATGCTGCAAATGTGGATCCCAAATCCAGACAAGATATCCCCGCGACAAAAATTTTTTGCATGGGATGGTAACCCCGTTGATCTGGCGGACATGAAAATAATTAAAAGTTGGGCTGGAGCCATGGATGGCGGATGTCGCGTTTCAATTTCGAACGTATTGAGCACCGCGATCCTTCGCGCAATGAGGGCGACCTTCCCTAAAGAACGGTTGGTGGAGGACCTTATTTTCCTTGAAGGTAACTAAACCGCATGCACACTCTGATAAATAGCAGATTATGGTGCGAACTTCACTTCCGGTTTCTCTAGTCGTTGCAATTCTACCCTATCCGAATTATCGATTGAGGAATCGCATAAGTTACATGACGTATTCCATACCAAAAGAAGAATGTGAAGTTCAAACATCTCCAGTGGCCGGGCTATTGCGAGATTTAAAGCAAATCAAGGCCCTCGCGACAAAGGCCATGTCGGGCCCGGATGTGTTAGGAACATTTTACATGCAAAAGTATTTCGGCAAGTTGCCACGTTTCTTGGGCCCACTGTGGTTAAAAGGTGGTTTCTCCTCTATTGCAATTTCCCCGCTGCCGTGGTCCAAGAAAAAAGGGGGGATTGCTTCGTCCCTGTGTAACGTTCCGGTTGAAAGAATTAGAGGAATTGCTAGCCATGCCTCCGATTTGGGTGAGAACAAGGGTGAGCTTTTATAGAATTTTGAATAGAGATTAAAATTTTGAAATTCTTGTAGGTCTGGTACTGTGTTGTGAAACGTATGGGGACGAGATCAGTTTTGGAGGAACTGGGGACTCGTCCTGGGTGTCGAGAGAGGAATTGAACAATTTAGTTGTGCAGATTGGCCGAGAGGTATCGAAAATGGTGGAAATCGTAGATTCGAATCATAAAGAGGTGAACTTTTGTGAAATTCTAGAATTGAATTAATAAATATGGATGAATTCGTTTAAATAATTTCATCATGCCTTCAACAGTTAAAAACTTGTGCATATTTTCAGAAATGGTGTTTTATTTTTATGCAGAGCATGTACTACAATAAAACTTTACAAATTTTAATTTTTATGCACTTCTACCCCCTCTGAATACGCCTTGAATGGACCGGGAACGACCACAATCTCAAAACGAGTAGTCATGTCTTTTAGCAGATCTTCATACACTTCATGGACGTCGATGTGGGCAGGATTGGCCGGGTTGGAAGATGGAATGTCCATTCGTTCAAGTCCAAGGAACTGCCGATCCATGACCTTCATGAGCAAGGCGACCATGTTCCTGTTCGTGTGGATTATGATCCCGTGATAGGCGATGTATTTGTTCCTGCGTTCAACTTCGTTGTTGTGCAACTCTTCATTCTCCTTTTCAATCCGATGATTCTGTTCGATGAGCCATTTATTCGCATTGCGGATCGTCTCGATCATTGCTTTGATCTGTCAAGTAAATAAGAAAATCGAATTATTGTCGTCATAATGTATGAATTGTTAGATTTTTAGATAGCAAAGTAAATAATGTGGAAAACTCACTTTCCCTTCATCCATTTTCCTCGTGGGATGGATGCAAAAAAGTGTTATCCGTTCTTTTCTGCCCCTGTTTTAAGAAAGATTTGAAATCAGATTTTAAATTTTAAATACTTAAAATCAGTAAGAAGTAAAAAAAATGTGGGTCGACTTCGTCGACTTGTGGACGTATAAAAATGTTCAGTAATCTTTTCTTTACATAGCCACCATTCCTCATCTTATCTTACTTTACTTACCCGTTATTCTTGAATTGCTGACCAAAGTTATTGAAATGTGAATTAAAAACTTTGATATTTTTTTGCAAAACACGAAAAATATTCGGACAGGTATATCAATTCTAGAATAATAATAAAAACGGCAAAATGAAATGAAAAGCCGCTCTCACCCAGATTGGTAGTTGAGAATTTGAGAATGCTGGACCAGCAGGCAACTTGCGACCGATATGAGACTGCTACTGTGAGACTTTATTAACTTTTGACGATTTTTACATTAATTAAAACCATTAATTACATAAGAACATGCATAATTGAACTTTAAAATTTCATTTTTTCAAATCCAGTTTTATTATTGTTTTATCCAATCCTACAGCCAAATCACAGCTTTAGAGAAAATTGTTTCGATATAAATTATTTTTTGCCAAGTCCCAAAGGTTTTAATGGTCCCAAGGGTGGCAGCGATGGGAATGGGGGCATCCCTTCCATTGGTTTAAACCCTGGTAGGGGGGGAAGTGGGGGAAGCGAGCCAAGGTCGCCCAAACCAGAAAGTGGCAAGCCAGACAGGGGTTTAAAGTCGCCAAATCCTATTGGTCGCATAGCTTCGAGGGATTCAGAATAATGCAAAATTAGTAAAAATTGAATACATAAAATGGTTAACATTTGGATGATAACGCACCACCACCAGGTCCACTGCTGCCACTGGATGAGGATGAGAATGAAGATGATGAAAACCCTTGCATGTGGGTACCGTCCTGGTGCAAATTATGAATTCCGTTGTGTAAAATCTTTTAATAAAGAACTAGCATTTGAACATCTTACCGGTGACACCTTATCATATCCCGAAGATTGTGACGATGTCATCCCTGTGATGTCACAGATTTCAATAATTACAAGACATCCATACATTATTGAAATCATAAAATATGAGATAATTTTTGTTACCAGAATGTCTAGAATGTACACCGTCGGACGTGGCGCATTCGAAATCTTGACTGCAAAAATAAAATATCATGCTAGATGTACATACATATTTAATTACTACCGCAATTAACTGGAGACCTGGATATTTACTAAATAATAAATTAAATATCAAATAATAATACCAGCATTCCGACATTTGACCTGGAACCTTTTTACAAATTCCAGCAGATTTCGGTGCCTCTCGACAAGTAACACCTTTACACGTTCCTCTCTTTTCTACCTAAATATACAAACAAAAAAATATGAAATGTAAAAACAAAATCTAAATTTTCTTCATAACTTTCTTTCGAGTCGTATAATATGTACCTTGCCTCCTGCATCACCGTTCGTGGAAATGGAATGACCAACAGTGAGTAGCGCCACAAGCAAAATATTATACTTGTGAAAAGTGACCATTTTGAAATGGCACTAAAATCAATCTTTTTCAAGGGATCTCTCAGTCTGTGGATGACTTAACTGTGTGAAATATGCCTATGAAATGAGTAGGTATTACATCAACCTCCATCCATATTGATTGGTTTTTGTTTTGACGAAAGATTTCCTGTTTAGAAGAATGCACAATCGAACCATTCTAAACGTCTGAGTAATATTTTTGTTTTATTTTTAGACAAAAGTGAAAATGACTTGCACACATACATTCATAACTTATTCATATTAGCGACGATACATGACCATGGTTTGATGCATTACCATCCCCCCGCCCCCCATTCCAGAACTCATTCCATTGCTCATACCCATTCCTGGCGGTGGCGGGACAGCGCCCATTCCCGGCGGACCACCCATCCCACCCCCACCCTGCATCATTCTCATATTTTCAAAATTCTGAGCCTGCATAGCATTCATTTGAGCATTTTGCATCTCCATCATCCTCTGGTTTTGAAGTTGCATGTCGTTCATTGCATAATTTGGCATTGGTTGCGATTGTACCATTGTGTATTGGACATTCTGTTGTTCAAAAACCACCTGGTCTTCACCATCTTCTCCGCCTTCTTCTTCCGCCGTGGGGACGTCGTCCGTGACGAAATCAGCTTCCCAGATTCCATCCTTGTCGTCACCCTCTTCAACGGCATCGTTTTCATTGTCATCATCTTCGAAATCATCTTCCTCTTCGTTGGATTTCTTGCCCTTGTGTTCGTTTTTAGCTTTGTTTTTCGGGGATTTGTCTTTATTTACATCCTTGTGACTTGAGGTTTGGAGAATTGACTTGATCCCTTCTTTCGCATAGCTTTTGGGTGAGGTGCGTCCTGAGATGGACATAAATGGAAAGATAAGTATAGCTTTGTTTTTATGGAATTTGCATACTAAATATTGTCAGAACTAGCTAACATACCGTACATTACTAACTCCGACCCATCTCTCCTCCTGCACTTATATAGTGGGCAGCACTCCTTCGAAATTTTTCGAAAAATTCGTATAAATTATATGTACTATAAATATATTATACTTATCATCGTCTTCACCTTCGCCCTCCTTAAAGATCCTAAAAAAATGGTTCAATATTCATTTAAATTCGGATATTTACAAAAACATTTTCTACCCACAGATTCGAGGTAAGACAAACCTGGTGGACATGTCAATGCGCTAGATTTTATGGGCGTACATTCCGTATTTTGGAGTGGCGGAGTGCAAAGAACTCCTAAAATAAATAATAAATAATTTAAATTGATTTTTGATGAAGATTTGACCATCACGAGCTTAATTTCACCTGGGCAGAGACTCGACTCCTGAAGAGGTTCTGGATTAGCTTCCCTAAGGATTAGATATTTTGGAAGTTTTTTGACATTTGCACCAGTATATTTGAAAATAATGGCAACTCCGCCAGATCGACTGAAACCATAATGCATGCTGTATGATGACGACGACGACGAAGAAAAAGTACGACCTCCTTGACCCCCTTCTTTCGACTTCAAGGGGCATCGCCATATGGAACAGCAAGAGTCGAGTACCTTTCATAAATTAATTTAAATGTTAAATATGTAAATATTGAAATGTCCTTAAACAATCAAAGTTACCCCTTTGGGCTTCAGTTTCTTGGGGACAGATCCTTTTGGTAGTTTTTTGCAGCGAGCCTTACTCCAACCACCGCCACTGGGCGGATGGCACTTTACAGACTTACACGTCTTCACGTAACGGACCTCTTTCCGAGAGAATTTATCGCTTTGGATTTGCACATCGAAAATTATGAAGGGTTTTGGTGGTGGGGCTTCATGGTTCTCGTAATCGATATCGTATTTCGTCTCGGCTGGGGATGAGGTGTCAGCAGAGTTGGATTCGTCTTCACATTTGGGGGCAGATTTTTCATCTTCTTCTGGCGTCGGACTTTTCACGACAGATTCAGAAATCCCATCGCTAATTCCTGGGAAAGAAATGTATATGTTTGTGATTAATTACAGTAATCTTATCAGTGATCTTATCTGCCTATAAGTCATTATTACCAAACTGGACAGAATATTTGTCCCCAGAATCCGACGAGCATTTGAACGCCGGACAGCAATCCACCGCCGACCCAAGGAGGATGAGCAGCTCACAATCAGTAATTTTTGAAACGACGCATTTTTCTTTGTCGGGGGCTGGAAAACATTTCATATTGCGACACTGAGGATTCTTCGAGGTCGAGTTTTTAATCGAATCTTCTCCCTGAGTTGATTTTGGTTTTGGCGTTTTTTTCGTTTTTGGCTTTGATTTCGAGGGGGCTTTTGTAGTTGTCGGGGGAGGTGGTGGAGGAGGAGGTTCGGGTGTGTCGATTTCTATGACTTCGTTATTAGTGGTTGTGGGCTGTTGAGTAGTAGTGGGCTCTGTCGTAGGATGACTGGTTGAGGTCATGCTGGTGGTACTACCAGCAGTAGTACCGCTGGTAGTTTGAACTACAGGAGTGGTAATGTCGGGGGTGGTTGGAGGTGGCGTTGTGGGAACCTGCGTCGTCAGGATGCGTTTTTTGGGAGGTTTAGTTTTTGTAGGGGCTTTCGTGGTCGTTCCTTTCGTAGGTTTTACAGTTGTTGTTGTTGGTTTTGTAGTCGTGGTCGGTTTTGCCGTCGTCGTCGTAGGTTTGGATGTTGTGGTGGGTGTCGTCACTGCAGGTTTTTTAGTTTTCTTGGTTGGTTTCGTGGTGGTGGTGGTGGTGGGCGAGGGTGTTGTTGGGGGTGGTTCTGTTTGAGCGGCTGTAGTGGTGGGAACAAGTGTGGTCGTAGGTTCTTGCGTTGTGGGGATGATTGTTGTGGGGTGTTGGGTTGTTGAGATTATTCTATTCGTTGAGGTCAAGATGGGATGTGGCGTTGTTGTGACTGGTTTCTGTCGTTCGAATCCTCTCCCTTTGTGTTGCGTAGGTTGTGGTGAGGTCAAATGCACGGTCATTGCTGTTGTGGAGGATACCATCATGACCGGACCGAAGGACGCTGCTGGATTCTCTGTTACCGTGTTGTTTGGAGGTGGCTCGGCGTAATACATTCCTAGAATAAAAATACAAATTTCAAGCCGGGGTTTAACAGGTTTTTTTTGTATTAATTAACAACTCACCAAATTGTACCAAGTACATTTTAGTCGTTTTTCCTGCACATTTGTAAATCGGGCAGCAATTTCCGTCCGAGATTACGAGTAATTTATAACTTTCAGACGCCTTCACTTCACCACAGGTCACTTCAGGTTGTGGTGGTACACACATCACTTTTGGACATGTGGAGCTTTCACTACGTTCCATTTCCATGAGTCGATTTCCCCACGACATGTCTAACGAGATGTCCCACTCCTCCTTTTTGACGACAACTTTTCCCCCTTTGTTCGCTTTACTACCGCCTCCTGATTTGATCTTCGTGTCGTTTGACGGAGGAGGTGGTGGGTCTGTTACCGAGCTTGCCAAATCTGCCTCCGTGGCGGAAGATCCACTTTTCCAGTATGTTGACCTTTGCCACATCCCAGAATGCTGTGCATAATTTTAAAAAGTAGCATGAATAATACTCATAATTGTTTCGTTTCTTGCGGGTTTGTTACATTTCTTGCATTGGAATTTGCAAAGCAAGAAATGCAAGGTGCAAGAAACTGCAAGAAAGTGCATAAAATATGCGCCATCGAACCACGCGCTGTATGAAGTATAGCGGCGAGGCATAATTTTTCTTCCGCCTTGGATTTCTTGCAGGTCAAAATATCTGCAAGAAACCACTTTCTTGCCCTTATTTCTTGCACGTGGTTAGTTGCACCCGAAACACTATAAATAATATGCAAAAACATGTACCCAGTAGTAGAGAGATCCTGTACCTCCTGTCGTGCAGATCCACATTGGACAACAGTCTTCTCCCAATCCCATCAGCGACATGACTTGGTTGAAGCAATAAATAAATGCAAACCATTCCAAATTATTTCTATATGCCGAATTAGATTTTCATAAATTACCTCCGCTTGGGCTAGATTTTCTACAATTTGGCGAAGGTTGTCCTCCGAGACACGTGACGCCGTAGCAGGTCTCGTTTTTAGACTTTTTCTTCGGTTTTGGAGTCACCTTTCCAGCCGCGTTCGAACTTGAACTTGATTTTGTTGCATTGTATCCAGTCATTCCTAATTCATTTATCACCATAAATAGTGCACATTTTTTCTATATTTCCTCCTTACCATAGTGCAGCGTCGTTGTCCCGTTTTTGTGCGTGCAAGCGTACACCGAGCAGCAAATCCTTTAATATTTATGATTAATTAATGTATCATCATTTATTAAATACTATTTGTTACCTTTGTTCCCCATAACTCGTTGTTGCTCCCAAAGTTGTCGCATTTCTCGCAATACAAAACCCTGCAGTTGGCTTGGGTTTGCAAGTGATTCCTTTACAGAGATTGGGATCATTTCCTTCCCCCGAAAGGGGACAAATGTTCCCCAGAATGAGAAGGATGCCATGAATCACGACGAAAAAAAACCTCCTTGAATTTATATTTGACAGGACAAGGTGTGGAACAATTTTGAACATTATTATCTTAATTAAATTCTAGTAATGTCTTCAATATATTTAATTAATTATTGTTATTTATCCCCATATTAAATCCACCAGGGTTCAAAAATTTGGAAAACTAATTACTTACGTCACGACCAAAGTGTGTGTATGCATGGTCATAAAATTCTTGTATATAATTTGCAGTCAAGGCCTACATATGTATGCCCACACGACACAAAGTAAATTGCAAGTAAACCGTCGAATTGGAACAATGATAACATTTTTCGTGTTAATTGCTTCGGGTCTGATTTATTACCCTTTTGTGACACATTATAAAATTGGCTTAATAAATATATGGCATACAAGAAAAATACCTGAGTACAAACATTTTAGGAAATAAATCTTTACGAAATTCCGGCATCCGCTAAGGCCTGTGCCAATTCGTCCATTTCCTCTTTGGTGGCCGCGTTCGCGACGGAATCGTGACCTCCGTCGGCAGTACTCGTCACAGATCGGCCCATCTGCTCGTCCGACTGGTAATGAACCGTTTCACTTCCACTAACCATTGGTCCGGAACCGTTTAGACCTGGAAATTTTGGAAATTTTTAATTTCCTAAAACTGATTTTCAAGTATTTTTGTTTACCATGAAACGTAAAAAATTTAGAGGAGTCATTCTGCTTGCATTTCCATAACGGACAACATTGCCTAAATTGTGGGTTAAAATATTTTAAATACATTAAAAATTATGAAAATTTTATGAAATTATGAAAAATTATTTAAGAAAAAACTACATTTTAGACCCGGTTGGACGTGGAATATCTTTTTCGCTGGAGGGATCTAACTCATTGCATTTGGCATTGTCAGGTGGATTTTTGCACTTCACATCGCTGCATTCACTACCCCCACGGATTTCGCAATGTGAGGTACGACACACGAGAAAGACGATGGATAACAGTATTGTTTTCTTCATTGGTATTATTTATTCCGCAGTGTGTGTAAGGTAACAATAGAGGCAAAAATTGTGGAGATTCTGACAACTGATTTATTGATGGTACTAGTTTAGTAAGTATGGTATGCAGTGCAGTTGGCTGGTACAAAAAATTAGTACAATATGATCAACCCCTTATTTGGCACGAGTACCAGGAGTGATGATATCATTCATAAAAATAATTAGCCATTTGTTATTATCACTACAATTTACAGGTGAAACTTTGAGCTTTGTACTTGCCAAAAAACAATCTATTGTTCTTGATTGTAATAAATATTTGTTAATATGTGTACACACAATATGTGTCAAATTTAGGTCTTGATTTCCTGTTTATAGAGACGCCATGCGTCATATAATATTCGCTATGTAATACGTCATAACATAATATTGAATATTTACTAATACATAGAATTTCGAAATTTCAAAAAAAATCATATAATGAATAAATACGTTTGCATTATTTGCTATTTACTCACTCATGGGAGTGCAAACCATGTTCAATTCAGATCTTTTTTGTGACCCATGAATTCCGGTAGACCAACACACAGCATTTGGTGCGACACTTGGACAATGTACAAATTCGGCGACTTATGGGCGTTGCAAGTTCACGTAAACGCTCGCTCGACCACCACAAACCAAGCAGAAATTTTCTCGCTCCAATTCTCCCACGCCAAATGGACACTCAAGGTCTTTCATTGTGTATAACGTGTAACCCCCATTTTGGTGGGGCCAATTTTATTTTGTTCAAAACAAAAAGTAAGCAAATCAGTATTTTTGTACTGTGTTTGATAACAATCGGTTTTATACCGGCGTCGGTATGTCTATTGAACTGTGCAGGTCACAAAAAAAATCTGAGTTGAACATGGTTTGAGTTATTTGTCATTATTAGTCAGAATCTTTCTTAACCGTGCCTGGGAGAGTGAATTTCTTAAAAATGATGTTTAGGGCTTATTTTTGGACAGAATGGAAAACGGATCGGTAATTCTGTGGGGAATGGGTTTCTCCACAGAATTACCGATCCGTTTTCCATTCTATCCAAAAATGAGCCCTAAACATCGTTTTTAAGAAATTATTTTTGTGCCTGCTTCCCAGGCAGCCTTAAATAAGTTTAACAACACTATTTCTTCAGAAAAATCCCTTCAACGCGTTCTGGATTTGTAGCAATGCGTCATCAATTTCCAGTGGGTTAGCACCTCCCGCATTTGCAGTGGAATCATGATCACCCTCGCCCACGCTGGACACCAGCGAGCGGTCCTTGGAGTAGTGCACCGTCTCCTTTCCGACGCCTTGAACTCCTGTCATTTTATAAAAAAATAGAGGCAATTATTATATTACGATTATTGATTGTTAGAAATACCGAAAAACCGAAAAATCATTACCGTGAACCGTATACAAACTTCCATCCCGCTTCCAGCATTTCCAAAGGGGGCAGCAATCGGCCCCCGTACCCCCGCCGATTTTATCAATAAAATCGCAACTCTTCTTTTCTTCAGGGGTCGGTTCCACGCAAACAATTTGATCACAAGCACCACCACCGTTTCCCGGTCGGGAGGACGCCACCACGATATAATTGACGAGAAAAAATAGTAAACACGACTTGTTTTTGTGCAACATTTCAAAATACCGTCGGAGAAGAAAATTCCACAATTTATTTTCTCTGTTCTTTCCTTTTGGTTAATAAATTGGTCCAGATTTTGTATTTATGCATTAGAAATCTGTACAGATTTTCCTTATAAATTTACATATTACTCAACTTAATTCCAAGAATGACTCGAATCCTCACTTCTAAAGAATTTACGAGTTTAATAATTAAGTTACTGGAAAAAATTGTATGACGAGATGTTTACCCGTAATCGTGGTATAAATTAAATATCTACATATGTACACAAATGTACGAGTCAAAAAGGTGTCAATCTGTACATACATACATAAAATTATTGGCACGACGAAAATAGGCATCGCAATAAGGAATTTACTGCAATTTTTCGTTCTGGAATCGAATAAAAGATTTTATGGCGAATTTAATTTAACACTTGGTCATAAATCGAATCAATTTAATGAGGAACAATAAAAGTATTGTTTTTCACAGGAATGATTGAGTTTCTTTGTTGGATGGAGGAGGAAAATGATATCATCGTAAGTACATAATGTGCAATGCATTTGACGGATTTCCTGACGCATAATAATTGCGATAGTGCTTAAGCACTGACTCAAGAAACCTCGGGTAATGAATGAAACTTGTCTGAATTCTCATGCCACTGCCAGGTCACAGGTCAGCCCGTATCGTGGAGAAGGTCAAGGTGGCTGTATATTCATACATACGTATTTATTTGTATTTGTGGGCATTATTTAAATATTTTGAGTGAGTGAATTTAAATAAATAATAATCTCTTTGGGAAGACGAAAAGTTAATAAAATTCAAAATTTGAAGGTCGCAATTCGTATAATGCGTCATAAAATGGGACGAAACGAGTGTAACAATTAATTAATTATTAGGAACCAATGCAATGCAAGCAGTGTATTGTTCGCAGTTTATGTAGCTTGGTATTAGATAGATTTGCATATTTTAGTAGGAGATAGATTTATATTACTAGATTGTAATGGTGGCAGTGGAAATGGTCACGAGATGTCGACCATTAAAAAGGTCTTTGTGCAACGACAGCATCACCGGAGTGGTGGTGGTAGTGCTTGCGCTACTTTTGGTACAATTTATCACTGGAGGTCACGCAAAAGGGGCGTCGGACGATGAAAACTCGGCGGCGAAATTGCCACAATGCGCAAAAGTGACGTGTACCCAACCTCCAGAAGGGCTACAGTGTAACAAGACTGAAATTAAAAATCCTGCAGTGCTCAAGAAAGTTGGGAAGGTGGGCGAAAATTATTATTATTATTTTTAATTAATTTGAATTTAAGATTTTGAAATTCTTTGAAATTTTGAAACACTTGAACTAAAATTCATACAGATGAAGGAGTGCTGTACGGCGTGGCGTTGTAAAGAAGAGGACGGTAGTTTTTCGACATATTTCGGTGGGGTTAAATTGGGAACTTGGGAAAAGTTGTGAATTAAATAAATACGTAATTTGATGTTTTTTATTATTCTGCAGGAATGTCGGGCACAGAGTCAGCCGTTAAGAAGGATGACAAAAAAGATAAGAAAAAAGACAAGAAATCAAAATCTGCCGTCACCACGACCGAGAAAGAAGACGAGGCTGAGGCAACAACGCCAAAACCTAAAAAGGCGTCAAAGGGCAAGAAACCTGCTAAAAATGCTGCCACAACCGAGAAACCTGACGAGGACGGGGAGGAAAGTACTACCCCGAAGTCTAAAGCGACTAAAAAACCCAAGAAAAAGCCATCTGCAGTCACAGTTGCTCCAGAGGAGGAGAAATCGCCCGAAGATAAGTGTGCCGAGGCGAAGGCGAAATGTAGGCGGTTTAAATTTCCGACATAATTTTAGAAGAATAATTACATTTTAATTTAAAAAAATTAGGTCCAATGCCAGAAGGGGACGACGCCTGCACAGTTACGATGTCAAAAGAATCTTTGAATTTCAAGCCGAAAGGAGAGTTGGATTCTTGTTGCCCGATATACAATTGTACTCGGCCGGATGGATCTTATCGACTTCATTATTGTGAGATCTATGGAGGGTTATCTTATTTTTTTTAAATAAATTACGCAATTAAAATTGTACAATTATGTATTGTTTTAGTAATGTCGGGAGGGACTCAGCCGAAGAAGGAGGATGAAGTCGCATCAGAGAAAGGTGAAGGTACGGATGATAAGAAGTGTCCGAATGTTCAGTGCGCCACCGAACCCCAGGCAGGGTCGGATGGTCCAATATGCGAAAAATCGACGGAAACAGAATCCTCCAGAATTAAAAAGCTTGGGCCATTCAGGTACAAAAATCGATTGTCAAAACTTCAAATATTCAGAATTTAATGGAGTTTGCATTATTACTGAGATATAAGAACTTATCAATCTTTCCAAAAATTAGAGAATGCTGTGACATCTGGAAGTGCGTGTATCCTGATACTTCATTTTATACGCATTTCGGTAAAAAAAACTTTCTTCAAATCTATACTTTCCTCCTTTGAGCAGTGACACTCAATTTGACTTCTATAGAACTTCAAGCTCCAAGTTTTTGGCTGGCAGAAACATCCTTCCAATCCGAACCTTCTACTAGCACCGTGGTAAATGCGGGTATCGAAGAGCCTACAACAACTGAAGAAACCAGTACAGAAAAACCTGGAAATGTTTCCGGAGACGAAGTAGCCGAGCCGGATGAAGCAGCAGGTAAATACATATTTGCATAAATACTAAATTAAATCTGGATTAATCATCCATTGTTCCTCAACCTTAGAAGAAGGTGGTGATGCTCCCGCAAAAAAGAAGAAGAAAAAGAAGCCGAAACATCCCCACAAACCGCAACCCGCACCAGCCCCCAACGGCAATGGGCGTTACGCTTACTCCACTTATTACAACACGTCCTGGTCAAGTGGAGACAATCCTGGTGGTCAGGTAATTAATTGTCCACACCTACATATTTCTTAGCCGTTTCATCAAATACGTCTCAATTTCCCCATTAGAATCCCAACGCCGGTGCCAACAATCCAAGTCCACCCCAAATGCCCTCGTATCCTATGGGTCCTCCCCCCGGCACGATTCCAATGGGCCCACCCCCCGGCGTTCCGATGGGTCCACCTCCCGGTACCGTTCCAGGCATGGGGTACGGACCACCCATGATGATGCCGCAACAACCCATGATGATGCCCCCCATGATGTTCCAAGGCAGAAGAAGATGAAGAATCCCTCCTTAATGATGACGCCGTTTCTTTCTCTAAAAAAAATGAATCGTGCCCCTGATGCATATTAATTAATTAATGAATCTCCTCCATTCCCTCCAAGAAGAAGATACTCGTCTTCATTTCATGTCATATTTACCAAAGCACCGGAGGGGATGGATCATCAAATACATATCCATCCATCCACATTTTATTACATTCTGATAAAACCAGCATCCAATTTATTTATTTTATTCGCTATGTACACTACTCTACACACTTTTTCCTTCTTCACTCACTCACTCACATCACATCTTTCGTTTCGCTAATCGTTCACTGGACTCACTCGCACGACGACCAGCAGCCAAGCCTAACTTATCACCGATTTCGTACATATACATTTGCCAAAGTGTATAAAGAAGTCAAGTGAATCGTGAACTCTGAGGTCCCCCACCGTCCGTCTGGTTCGTTCATCATCATATTGATGTGATCAAAAACATGATCATGTTCAAATAAATAAATCCATAGTTTTATTGTGCATCTCAATTTTCCACGCTAAATAACATAACAGCACACCAAAAAATAACTTATTAAACTGTCCAACCAACCCTTCATTTCATTTCATCTCCTACATAAACTCCATGTGTATGCAAGTTAAGCTCTCTGGTCTTCTGGAGTTTTTTGCACTCTGTTCTAATCAGTCATTGCATTTTCCTCCATCCCATCGCGAGTTAGCGAGTGATATGATGATGACTGTACAAAAGAAGTAGTTTCTCTGCATAAAATATAATATGGATAGAATGCCTGCCTCCCAGTCACTGCCTGCGATGATATCGCAGTGCAAACAGTGTGTCCAAAAAGTGAATCTTCACTGCTGCATACATAGTTTAGTTTGTTGCCCATTATTCATCAATCCAACTCATAATAACTGCATGCATAATACGGTATACGAATGCGAATAGTGAGTTCTTGTTGGATAGAGATGCGATATTTCCATTGTAATAAAGCAGTTTGGTAGAGAGAGAGATGATGAGAATCATCATTATTATTTATTACGGCCGACTGCATTGTTCGACACGATTGGACATTTGATTTGAAGAGTGTATAACTAACTAACTTTTGCTGGTTTGGTGGTTCTCATTTTTGACTCCATTCCACTCGTGTGAATGAAGCCATGCAGTCACATAGGAAAAAGTAAGACGTCGTAACGTAACCAATCCACTTGTACGATTACTTTACTACTACGACAGAAACTTGTTCTTCGACTAGATTGCGCAAAAATAATAGGTAATGAAATGAAATCATTTAGTTAGTTTAGTGGTGAGTGAGTAAGATAAATAATAATTCTGGATAAGAAAAAAAGAGACGATTTAATAGGAAAAGTGGGTTTAAATCGTGGGTTAATTTTTTTACAGAGAGATTCATGAAGAACATAAACAAGTGACCAGCACGATACTGCGACGTGACTCCGATACACGTGCTTTTTTATAGGAATTAATTCCGTCCCCCTGATGAGATAGAGAGATGTCGTCCTGTGACAAACCACTCCCACCCCTGCTCATCCCCCCGGCTACGTTTGGTGGGGATGAAAAACTGACCTGTTCGACGTCTTCGTCCCCTCCGTCGTTGGTGTCCTCGTCGTCCACGGCTTTGTTAGATTCGCCCCCGACGACGTTACTCTTCTCGAAATTAACTACCCCACCAGTCTCGTCATGTTCGAGGTTTTCCATCCATTCCATTTCGGGTTGTGCGTCACCTGGTCAAATTCTGGCGATTATGGGACCCACGGGATGCGGGAAGACGACAGTTCTTAATGCCCTTGCAGGTTAGTTTTGATTGACATTTCTCACTATAACGATAGGCTGTTAGGAAACCTACGCTTTCAAAATGTCCGTAAATTTTTCCATGTCTTGAGTTGGGTCAAAATTTCCGGAGTTGATCTTGAAATCTGTGTTGAGTGTTTTCTGTACATTTTTCAAATTGTCTCCGGAAATTTTGAGATAGAAAAAGTTACTGAAATTTTAAAAACGTAGGTTTACTAACTCCCTAATATTTTCATTTTAACCTATCACCAGGTCGTGTCCCTCTTTCTTCTGGGTCAATCTGGGTCAACGGCTCACCCGTATCGAGGCGTTTGTGGCGAACGAAATTCGGCTACGTCCTCCAACAAGACGTCTTTTTCCCGACGCTCACCCTAAAACAAACCTTGATCTACACCGCACTCCTCCGTCTCCCTGGTTCGTACTCGTATAAGGACAAAGTCTCCAAGGTGGAGGATATCATAGAGGCTCTCGATCTGTACAAGTGTCAACACACGCGGATAGGCGATGATCTCGGGATGACCCCGTCGGCCCGAGGTCTTTCCGGTGGTGAGAGGAAACGTCTCTCCATCGCCTCAGAACTCTTGACGAATCCATCCGTCCTGCTGATCGACGAGCCCACGAGCGGTCTCGACTCCTTCACGGCCATCCAACTTATCAAAAGTTTGAAACATTTTGCTCAAAGTACGCAGAAAAACGTGGTACTTTCCGTGCACCAACCGTCGTCCCGCATGTTCCAAATGTTTGACACGCTACTCGCCTTATCGAACGGGAGGACGGCGTACTTTGGCCCGGCGAATGAGATGGCGGGCCACATGGCGTCCCTCAGCCTGCCCATCCAACCGAACTATAACCCTGCCGATTTTCTCCTGGAGACGTTAAAATACGAGGAAAAAGTGGTCGTGGCGGGATGGAAGGATAACAATAATCATCACACGCAGAAATTGTTTGAACAAATCGAGACTTATTCGGCCACGTCGAATAATCCATCGAGCAACAGTCCGTCATCGTCCCCAACTTCTAGTCGGAGGAAGAAGGAGAAGAAAAATAATCAGATTCCGTCTTCCTGGGCGACATCGTTTCTCACACAAGTTAGGATTCTGACGAGGAGAAATATCCAGCTCGCTTTGCCACGTGAGATAAAATTTATGAAATTTTGAAAATGTTCTTGTCCTTAATTTTGTCCTTAAATAAATATTTGCCTCTATTCTAGGTGTATTCTCGTCCATAAACGTCGTCCAGACCTTCGTCCTGGGCATCATGGCGGGCCTCGTGTGGTGGCGATGTCCCCGAACGGAAGAAAATCTAGACAACTTGGAAGGTTGGATGTTCTTCTCGACAAACTTTTGGATGTTATTCGTCCTATTTCAAGCCCTCTGGGCGTTCCCACCGGAACGACCCATCGTCACGAAGGAACGTCGTGCCGGAGCTTATCGGTTAAGTTCCTTCTACACGGCCAAAATCCTGGGCGAACTTCCCCTCGAAGTTACACTGCCATCAGTCTACTTTCTCATCAGTTACGGCATGATCGGGGGCACGATCGCGTCGTCCCTGGGAATTCTGGCGAGCCAAACGTTAGCCTCGATTGCGAGCCAGAGTGTAGGTTTGTTTTTTTCCTCCCTCTTCGCATCCGGTCCGGCCACCACGGTGGCGGCCATTTTTACCGTGGGGGCACAACTCTTGGGGGGTTATCTTACCAAAAACGTGCCATCTTATCTTAAAATTTTCTCCATTGTGTACAACGGATTGAGAAACTTAGCCATCGTGGAGTACTCGTGGGGCCTGCCGGTCTCGTGTGGGAAGGAGGCTAGTAGATTTCCGTCGTGCAAGGAGGGAGCCACGTGGGTAGATCCGAACGATCTTTTATGGAAGGATGAGACTGAATTTCCCCTTTGGGCGCACACTGCCGTGTTAATAGGAGTCATTCTAACGTTTAGAACGCTTGCTTATATTTGTCTCAAGAGGCAGTTGTAGTTATAATTCGATACATTACAGATACACCAATATAGTCATTACCTATGTAAAAGTTTTTATGAAAAGGGATCCAAAAAGTGTGCTAATTTTCATAAAATTTTAAAAAAGGTGAACACACATTTTATACAAATATATTTCTATTTACAAATACATATAAATATTTACCGAATTATGTACTTTAAATATGTATGTAATTCACCATTTTAATCACACCTAAATATTTGCTACCTTTTAGTCAGAAACTCAATACCTGATTGTGATACGAGTTAAATGAACAATAATTAATTTATCTTGTCCAAATATTACACAATTTCTCGTTTTAATAAAAAAACGCATATATTATTTATTCATCAGTCACATTCTCCAGTCGCCACATTTATTTGGTCATATCCGTTTACATATGAATTTGTGTAAAAAAAGTAACAAATCATAATAAATTATTGGGCATTGGATTGACACCTCAAGGGCAAAAGTTTATTGTTCCCTTGTTGCAGCAACCACCTCCTCACGTTACACCACACATTACAAATTACAATGCATGAACTGAATGAACATGGTGTTATCTCCAGACTGAGAGAGTGAGAGAGAGATCAGCCAGTCTCATTTATAGTTAGTTATTAGTTGTCATTTAATGCAGGCACAAACGTGGCGTGGCTAATGACCAGAAGATGCATTAATTGTTAACAATGGTACGTATGTATGTACATCATTTACCACTTTTTGGCAAGGTGGTGATGATGAGAGAATGACCCATCAAGAGGAGTCCAGTCCGGACCATTTCCCGTGTGGATGAGGTCACTTGATGAATTTTGTATGTATGTACGTAAATAGTATGAACTTATCAGAAGTGGCCGTGGAAGGGTGGGGACAGAGGGACAATGTCCCCACGGTTGTTCGATGTTCCCATCATCTGCCCATGTTATGTAGACCCCTCCTTCCCCTATTCTGCAATTAATGTCCCCAGATGTTCCCATTGGTTCCGCGGCCACTGCTTATCAGTAAGGTAATGTTTGCCTGGATTTGCGCGGTGGCTGTTTTACCAGCGTTTTATTTTTGTGTAGAATTGCATACTTATTATTGTGTTTGGGATTGATTCAGGTGTCATATTTACGTGGATGAAATGGACAGTAGTAAGAATCAGGGTTAAACAACCTATAAAGTAAATTATTAACCTTAACCAGTGAACAAGATGAAAGTGGTGAGAGTTTGAGAATGAATTTTGGAATTCCAGAAAATAAGCACGTATCAAAAACCTGAGAAATGCGAGTGATTGACATTTTTCCATGAATTTGCCACCTTTAACACGAAACATTGACGTCATTCGCGTAACAATTGAATAATAAATCAATCCCAACTCCAACTTAAATAAATCTGAATCATATCAATGAACAAATCACATTTGACGTGGTGGATCCAGTTTCAGTGTCAGAAGTTGAAGAAATATGAAGCTACATATTTATTTTTTTATTATTATTATTTGCAATTTTGGTATGCAATGCATCAAATAAGTTATTTGTGATGGTGCAATTTTATTTTAATCACTGTATTTAAATTAGTAAACTTTTTATTATTTTATTTTAAGCAATACGCAATCAGTTAGTCAGTCAGAATTATGTACATATCTATGTAGCGGCAAGAAATACATGTAATTGCAAATTATTTGTATCTCTTTCATAGCATATTTAGCGTAAATTATAAATTATTCATACGAAAATTCCTAAAATTTCTAAAAATTCCTAAAATAAGTTCGCGATCTTAAATTAAGATTTGCTTTAATTATTGCTAAATCAGTCGCATAAGTCAGAATTATAAAATTGCACATATGACAAGCATATATAATATTATTGGCTCAAAAACTTTCTACTTTCTCCACTTTCCAACTACACCGCACTCTTCTTGATAAATATAAATCTGGATATAAAAATCACTGGAAGCGTAGAGAATCTTACTGTCCACTTGTGGCATACTTATAATGAGATAAAATTTAGTGGAAGGGATGCAAATAAATAATTTAGCCAATGTCGACAGGGAAGAACCACTGCATAAAGCGACGATACAACACTATTTGATGGGTGTTGTGTAAAGAGAAGATTACTCGGTCCACCTAAAAAGGTGATAGAATTGATGGTTAAGTATGAAGCTATTTAAGAAATTCCTTAATTAATTGATTACCTTATCTCGATGCCCTTGCAGAAAATGACGAACCGTGTTGAGACTAATTCTAGCAGCGAGGGATGGGTCTGCAGATTTACTTCCGGTTGATATACAAGGAAAGACCTGAAATGTTTAGGAAGTAAATTTAAAATAAGAAAAAAGAGATAATTATTGAACCCACAATCGTGCGTAGTCCTTTGTCAATCAGCAATTGGAGAGATTTCTGGTAACAGAGTTGCAAATTTGTTTCCCACCCAGGTTCCATCCCGTGAGGGCCGTTGGTGTGGATAATATCTGAAAAAAATTGTAAGATAAAGCCAGAAAAGTAATTTATTGATTGGTTCACTCCGATTTGATTTCTTCTGATTTCGCTTACATTTTGCAGGGAGGTTAAATCCTTCCGTGATTATGACTTGCCCCATATCGAGAGGCGTCAGAGATGCACATGCCATCCGCAGAGATGGCCCGGCTTCCTCGTTAAGGACCTTGGACACTGAAAATAGACACAAGAATCTCAGAATTTCTCATAATTATTTTAATTAATACACACCTCCATTGTCGGGACAGAAATCCCACGTTGTCGAGTTGACAATCGCGTCCACTGCAAACTTTGAGATGCACGTATCAGCCAGACTCAACGAGACAAGATGATTGAGGCCATCGTCCACATAGAACACATTTCTTGGCACTGAAAAAAATGGGAAGGTCAGTTACAAAATCTGGTCAAATAATTAATTAACTCCTTACAATTAAACTTGGGTAAATGGTCCCCTTGATCCTTCACGTAAATCCCCCAGCTGGGTTTGGCCTTCCAACTCACACCGTTATTATTCCCGTTAGACTGTTGTCTATTGAGGAGAAAGTTGTTATTGTTTTTATCTCCGCTTCCTCCTCCTTCTCCTCCAGAACCGGATGTCAGCAACGCGTACAAAATGCAGCTGGCCGGGTCAACCTCGTCATCTTGATAAGGGTCAGAGTACACACAAACTGCCGCACTGGTCGTCGTCATCGTCGTCGTGTTTGGGGACTGCGGCGACTCCACGGGGGGAGGCGGAGGAATGCTGTTATTTACACCCACCGGGGCTTCCATCCCAGGTCGTCCCCTTGCCGACAACTTGTCGACGAGAAGAAATTGGTCATGTGCAAGGCACGCGGTTTTAGCTTGTCAGTGGTCACGAACGTTGAGAATGGTAAGGTAATTAAATTTGTGTCCATGCCTCACCAACCAGACCACTCTCACTCTCTCCGCAGCAGTCAAGTCCAATGAACAATGCAGACCGACATGGCCAAGTCCGCTAACTAGCCGAACTAAAATCAAACAAATAGTGATGATGAACGATATGATGAGATTGGATTGGATGGTACTTGTGATTTGGATGCAATGCAGTACGAGCCCGAGCTCAGACTCAAATTCAACCCGACACCATGAATGACATACTAAGTGCAACCATAACTTTATTATGTTATCATGACGGTGAGGCAGAAGGGAATGCGTTGATAAGCTACACGTGCTTTAATGTCAATGCCTCTTTTCCAGCAGCAGCAGCCAAATCTATGCAGAATGATCATTGACAATGGGGGTTGCATTGAGGTGATAAGGTTTGTTTTCGTTCGTTGGATTGGAGGAAGGTAGGTGATGATCACATTGTCGTCTCGATTTTCATGGGAATGAATGTAAATTAATCGGGGTGGACGATGTCCCAGACAGGATTTTTGATAACCTGCGACTTATCTGAAACCTGACTTCACCTTCACGTCACCCGGGCATTTTGTTTTGCAGGCATGACAGTAAAATGAGCTTTTTGTTATCCACGAGGTTCCTGCTGTTATCTCTTCAAAATGAATTGTGTAATGTTCTACATGGGAAAATGGGTTCGTGACACGTCGCACAGAAGTACTTATCATTATTTTTGGTGGTGGTCTTCGTCTAGTCAGAAATTCTGAGTCACAATTCGAGACCTTGAGACACTTATTATTTAGACGATTGACATGTGTATCGAGTCATCACTTTAAGCAACGATTATTGCTTCTGTAAAATCGTGAGATTAGTAACTGACGCCAAGGTTATCTTTTCAATATGCATTAAAAATAAAGAGTTTGAGTCGAGTCCCGTCTTGAAATTCGATCCGCTAAATGGTGGTTCTGCCTAATTGATCTTTCACCCATTAAAAATAACTGACGTGTTGTCCCATGAAGTTGAAATTGGATACATATTGTGCATATTTACATACGTTGGGTTTTCTGGTAAATAACAATGACCAGACGAAAAATATGTATCGATCCATCAATCAAGCTCAAGTGTTTACAATTTGGACATTTTTTTGCATTTTATTGTTATCTTTAGTCCAAAAATCCATTAAATACACGAAATAAGTGAAGACTTTGCTCCCGAAATCGACTGACGTTTAGACTAAGGGAGCGTCCATAAATCACGTGAGCGATTTTTTGACAATTTTGACCCCCTCCCCCCCCTTGGTGACCAATGGTGATAAATTCATTACCCCCCCCCCCCCCGCGGTCACGTGACAGCATACCCATTAAACCTATTTTTCGCCAAGTGCGATTTTTTGTGGCGGATTTTTTTTTCGCAAAAAGTTTTTTCGCCAAACTGACCTATTTCCGACAGGAAAATACATGGCACAAATTAACCCAAAAATAATATTCCTAGCCCATTTCAAATCCGTAGTTAAATTAAATTTTAAAATTATTGAAAGAACTATTTAATACTAATCAGTAAGTATATTGAGTAATTCAACATTCTTACTTCTTATGGACAACTGCGTAAACTTATTATCTGAAAGAATAATGAGAGTTCTATGAATGTGCACTCAAATTTGGGAGTGGTATATATGTGCAAACCAGACCTACATAAGATTGTCAAGTAAAAATTTAAAAATATGCCGTATTCGAATTTAAGATAAAAGAGACTAACGATTAAGTAAATACATACTATCAAGTTTAAGATTTACATCCGAAGTTTAAAGAAAATTTTTCGTGGCATGTCACGTGACTGCCGCCCATTACCCCCCCCCCCCCCCCTTGGTGATAATAGGTGACCAATTTCAGACCCCTCCCCCCCCTCTGATCGATCACGTGATTTATGGACGCTCCCTAAATGTAAAAACTTTCAGGGGAATAAATGTAAATTAATCGGGTAGATGACGAAATGCTAATTGAGACGCGTAGATAACAAAACCTGTCATTTGGCAGATCCGACGTGATGCAATGCGACGAGATGCGGTTATCGCCTCTATAACCCCATCACCCTCAACAATATGTTATTTATGCAAACTATTTTTATTCCCGATGTGATAAAGTGCTAATAAAATCAAGATAACTTCAATACAAATCGGGTCAGTGTCTGATAAGCGTGCATTTTCCCAAATGGAAAAAACCTACGTATGCCTCAGTAGACATACTGATAAGCAATGAGTCAAATGATAACCAGAAAAACAACAGGTGATGACATCTTCCCCGAATTATTTACGACGTATAAAATAACGATAACATGCGGCCTAATGTACATATTCCACGAGATCTGATTATCTTTAACGTTTCCGGTTACGCAACATACACAATTTCGTGTGTCGTTTGTCCCGTAATAACATCATAACATACATAAATATGTACACAATTCATAACGTATGTAGGTTTGGGACACGAGGCAAATAAACAATCCGATTTCTACAAACAGTGCCACCAAACCCATGCTGAGAGATTTTCTTATTAACAAATTTTCCAAATAATGTGACAAGATCCATCCTTCCGTCGTGGTAAACAAGAGATGAAAATAATCCCCTTGGTTGAAATGAGAGACAATAATATCATAATTGACAATTTTGTGGTAGTACGTATGAGGAAAACATAATCTCTTGTTGTGTTGCTACCTGCTGACAATTTTATCAAAAAAATGGGCGTAAATGCTGCGTAAATATTTTTCTTATAAATATATTTGACAAATGTTGTTACATTCGTGCTACCGGAAGACAAACTAGGATAAGTCAGCATCAGAATGTAATAAATATTATGTTATTAAAAAAGGGTATGTAACTAAAATATAGTTAACCGATTAAGTACATATTTATCTATGTGCGTCGTAGTAATGCCGTTAAACCAGGAAATTTCTACTATTTTCCTACCATATTGAATATGTAGTGACTCTTTTTGTCGCTATTTTATGGGTGAGAAGCAGAATCGCTTTGTAACTTGATTCATATTTAGAGCAGAAAGAAACACATCCCAACTTTTCAGAGGTCATCATTAGACACCATTTACATATGTACATATATATTGTGTAAATAAGTGAAGAAAACAGAACATGAATCGAATCTTAAGGGCCATTCGATACCCGACTTAGACATACTTATTTACCATACCAGACAGACACCATACCACAGTTCTTTTTCCACGAAAGCATATTATCCTGTATATTTTTTTATCAAGCTCAATTGTACCGAGAAACTATAAGGATAAGTATCTTTTATTGACGGAGAATTACACGATTCAACCGTCAACCATGATAAATAATGATGTCTTACAAGGGAAGGTCCCCGACTGCTTATCGTGTCCAGGGTACCCACTATGTTTTTTAGAATCTACTAGGACCCTAGACGAAGGATCCATTCATGTTTCCGTGTTAATCGCATATTTGGCGCCATGGCGTGGCGCCAAACTTAAAAATCTGCGTTTTCGACCAATTTCAAACCTCCATAACTTTTCTAGTTTCCGGGGGATTTTCAAAATCTTGGGCTTAAAATGATCACAAAGTTCAAAATTTTAAGAAATAAATGAAAAATGAAAAAATTTTATTTTTTGGTATTTTTTTGGCGAATCTCCAAGCGTAAGAAAATTCCAAAATTTTGACAAAAATTGAAACAATAAATTTTTTGAAAATTTTCATGGTATACGAAAGTTGAACTCTTTTTAATGATTTTTGGAAATTTTTTTGAAAATCCGCCCAGGATTTCAAAAGTTATGGCGGTTTCAAAAATAAAAACATACAAATTTGGCGAATTTGGCGCCACGCCATGGCGCCAAATATGCGATTAACACGGAAACATGAATGGATCCGTCGTCTGGGGTCCTAGTAGATTCTAAAAAACATAGTGGGTACCCTGGACACGATAAGCAGTCGGGGACCTTCCCTTGTTAGACAACCCTGAATTTTTTTCATGATCTCGGATTCGTCACGTCCACGTCTGTTCATTCCCCACGATTATATATTTTCGCCAACCTTGACATTGCCTAGCCTGGCCTGGCCTCAGACAAGGCATGACTGATAGTGGTTGGCTGGCTAGCAGAGGGAAAATTGTGAAATGGACACTTTGCACACAACCGATTCCCTTCGGCCCAGTCGTAATTTCATTGTTCTTTCCCCGTCTCAAATTCCACTATGTCTCATCCTCCACCCAAACTTGTATTGTATTATGTACATACCACCAACCAAACCACAAGTCACAATCAAAGACCAGCTTTCTCTCTTTAATAATGCAGTCGTATAATGTGCAGCGCAGGTACGTACGTATTAAATGAAAGAAGAAAGAAGGCGCACAGATTTGACGATGAGGAGGAAAACAGTTCACAGAAAGTAAACCGATTGTCAGTTTTGGGTAAACCGATTTATTTGCGAGACAAAAGGAAGGATCGTTCACATGACGAGGGAGGCTTTACTTTTGTACGCCAACAGGTAGAGAGAGAGACGGAATGTCTGCAGAAGACTAACTTTCTCATCCGTATTCATAATATGAAACCAATTCTCTTCCTCGTCAAACAAGCAGACGAGACGAAGTAGCAGCTCCTTGAATTAAATTGGATTCGGATTTTGGCAGACTCTTATTAAAAATTCATGAGCTCCTCGCCTGATTTGCACCACTTTACATTTCTTTTTGTCACTTGAAATCACGCCGTGGCAGTGTTGATGAGGAGTGAAGAACGTCACGTAGATGGATAGAAGACCAGTAAAGTCCGCTCCCCCCACGCCACGCCGCGTGCCTGCCTGCATGACTGACATTTAGCAAACTTTCCAAGAGAAATGTTGCAAATTCTTTTATTTTTTGCTGAGCTGGCTTCCAATCATATCGCGATGTGGATCCTAAATATGTGCCGGGGAGGAGGGGGTTATTTAACCAGCAATGTGTGGCGTATGAACACATGTAGGGCACGCTAAAAAATTCGGTGGGAAACGTCGGTTCTGGTGATTGGGGTTGTTACCATTTCGGTGGTAGTATGCTTCCTCTTGGTGATAGACTGTCACCGAGCTGTCACGTGATGATTCTGAGGGATGTCATATTATAACCGACCGGTCAAGTCACATATGCTCATCGGTCGGTGATAATTCGGTGGTAAAATTGCTGTAGCTTGGTGATAGACTGTCACCGAGCCACGTGGGCGTTCCCACGTGGTGATTCTTAGCGGTGTCATATTACAACCATCCGGTAAAGTCACATTCGTAATGATAATCTGGTGGTAAAATTTTTTAGAGTGCAGTTCAGGCTCCCAGGGACTCGCTATAATACAGCATTGTTCAATGAGCTGTGATAGCCTCGTGTGTGTGCTGCTGGCTATGGTTTTGGCTGGTCTGGTGGTGGTTGCGGTTGCTTTCACTTTCAATTTCGAAAAGTGATTTGTCCTCTCTCTCTCTACAAAATTTGATGGAATGAAGAGACGGAAGCTGGCAAAAGTGATTTGCTTAAATGTCCATTACTCGCACCACTGCTTCCTTCCTTCCTTCCCCTCTCTCTCCGCGCATCATCATACATATCGCATCGCCGACGTAACTTTCATCCTAGGGAAAAAGTCAGCTAAGTTAAAGCGGTTTATTTTTATTCCTCTCTTCTTTTTCCCACTGTGTTCATAAGTGGAAACTTCTTTATAAAAGGAGGATGAGCCTTGTGGGGAACAGTTTATAAGGAAATTTGCAAAAAAAGAGAATGACGAATGAACACAGAACTTTCAATTTTTCGCCAAAATAATGCGACAGATTTTCCTGTAAGAATTTTTTCCCCGAAAAAGCAACGTATTTAAGATACCCCAGGTGGATAAAGCTCCTTCTTAAAAGTACAAATGGGAGATGAAAGAAGGATAAAACGGGAGCAGAATGCGACCCGGAGATCAGTTGCTCGCCTGCTTTCTCCCGAGAAAGCACGACGTGGTACCGCTCTCTCCTGCCAAATCTAGTCCAGAATCTCAATCCTCCTCCAAAATAATCATCATCATACTTTATTGTCGCAAAGTTTTGAATAATAAAGTCTCATTTTTTCCCCACATTTGTCTCAGCCGAGTGGGTTACTTCATTTCATGGAGATTGATTCCAGCGTCATTAGTCCTCTCTCCAGGCTACACTTTGGAGAATGACATGATTTCTTGTTAGGAGTCTTCTTGCGCTGTGGGGATGAAAAAGTCTCCACTTCCGTGACATCGGCTTTAATAACTTTTGGTGAAAGTTGAACTTTCAACGGGGACTGAGGACAGTAGTAGTGTTGAGCTTGTGACTGTATTACGTATTTAGGATTGTAAGTATTCATATGTGTGTGTGCGTGTGTGTATCATCAACTTTTCGGTGGAAATTGAACTTATTGCATACTTTGAGAAGAAGTGAAAGTCTTGGGTGTGAAGTGAAGGTAAATTTTGATACAGTTTGAATAAAAGTGTATTTTTTCATGTGGGGAATGTGTGTATATTTATGCTAATTTTGTGCAATGTAGAGGTGACCTAGGCATTGAAAGTATGTAGCTTATAATCTCGTTGTAAATCTGTGATGATTTTTGATTTAATTTCATATAATTTATTTACGGCGTTAAGTAAATGATTTGAGATTTTTATTTTCTTTAGTGCCAGTGCAAAAAAGCGTGTGGAAATGACAGTCTAATTGCATTTCCTTCACGTAATTTCGGGGTGAGAAAGTCGAATATTTTTTCACTATGCGATTAACTTTCACTTTTCCACCTTTATCCGTATGAATCATGCTCACACGACTTGTAGATAACTTTATTTTTGAAAGTAAACACATTTCTACAAGTTTTAGTCATGTTTTGAGTCCATATTATTCTAGGGAAAAGTCAAACAGCTCAAAATCAGTGGTAACTTTCTTCTCCCTTTATGACTGACTTTTACTGCGGGTGGTAAATTGTCTCTTACATGACCACTTGACATTCATAAATAAGTTGGCCTACACATTATTGTTCCCATTAATTAATTTGCCATACGTAATTTTAATAGAAAGCGGAAGTGTTTACAAATCTCCAACCTTTCAGGGAACAAAAGTTGCATGCATTTTCATCCGTTCACGCTCAGAATCTTTCCGCCTGAGTGAATAGCAATCAACGAGAAGTTCTCCGAAATCGGGAAGTATGAAAAAGTATGAAGTATGACCAAAAATTTCTCGTGAATTTGAAAGAATTTGTGTATTTATTCCCCCATCAAACTTCTACATACGTTCTTGATAACATATCCAAGTCGACATCGCATTTCCCGAAACTATTTATTTATTTGATCCTGATTGTACACCAATTTGGAAAAAGTTTTTCACTTTCTCAACTTTCAACATTAAGGGCTAGTCGTCGTAGTTAGGTGGTAGTTTTTCCGTGTGTTATGTATGAGATCACGACTCAAGAAAGATTTCACTCTTCCGAGGAGTGTGTAGGTTTATGTATTACATTTCTACCATATCGGTAGCAATTTTTTACCGACGGTGGGTAATTTTAATACCAAACGGTAGCAACTTTAATACCGAGAAATCAATACCTGCGTGACTTTGCCAGATTTCTAATAAGTGTACATACATACAAATACATACTTTTTTAATAGAAGTTTTTTTTACGTTGTACTTTTATGAATCTGTGATAATTTCACTTCTCATTAGTCCATTTGTTGCTCGAGATCTGTTCCTACATACTTAAAAACTAATGCAGTCTCTCTTTTTGCTAATTCCTAAGTAGTTCTTGGCACATAGCGTTAAAATAGTTGCTATTAATCCACCTCCGTTTTCCTTCTTGGCTAATTTACTATTCTTACTTCATGAAGAATTGTGGCTAATTAATCATTAATTAATGTGTGTTGCTGTACTGTATACAACTTGAGTTCTATCTTTTCTGGGAAGATTTGAGAGAAATAAATCCTCTCTGACTGACTTTCTCCAACTTTCGTTCCTTGGCTTCCTTATCTGTGGGCGTTTGGCTGGCCCATATTTTTATTCTGTTCCGCATTTCACTTACTTAGAATGGAGGTCTCCCAGCGTATTCTCTCAGATTTTGGGCAAACTAGTGTCAATCGATCACAAGTTTAATTAATATGAAATTTGCAAATGGCATTATCTCCCAATGCGCAGGTTTGGCAGATATATTTGCATCCGAAGAGGTGAATGCGCGCTGTAAATTTGGCAAGTGTAAAATCATTGTCAACTTTACGCCGTGTTTTTTCCTTTTTGGATGCAAATATCTCCGCTAAACATGACCATTTGCAGATCGTGTCTTTTGCAAATTTCATGTTGATTAAATTTTTGATCAATTGACACTAGTTTGCTCAAAATCTGAGAGCATACGCTGGGAGACCTCCCTTGTAAGTTAGTTAGTTTTACTGCATATATTGGATGGGTTTCTTCTTCTTGTAGAGAAAGAAAGTTGAAATGAAATGCAACATTAATTAGAGATTGTCTCGTGCAGGAAACGGGGAGGGAATGTTGATGGATTTAATTGTGTAGGCATACTTCCGACATTATGCTTTCTTTTGGTTTCTTTTAGTGAAAAAGTAAATAAAATTTCATGTTACACATAAAATTAGAGTTGGTTTCTGTGTACATTTCGTGGATATATCTGCACATATGTATGTGCTGTACATGTCAGTTTCCTATTTATGGGGGTTGCTGGTTTAATTTCATTAATTTTCTCCGTGCCATGTCTAATCTTGACGTGTAGACCTTTTTTTCCTGTTTGAAGGGGAGAAAATAGAGAAACGCCGTATTTTAGGGAAGATCATATGTACTGTACACGAGCTAAATATTGTACATAAACTTTACTAGAAGACGTGATAAATACCACGTAAGAATTTATTTTATAAAATACGCAATTTTTTCAAACCCCTTAATGATGAAATAGATTAACTCGTCTCAAATCCATTTGGAGAATGTGTTTGAAAAAGAATTGTAAAAAAATAAACACAAAATATCGCATGTTTCCTCCTCTCTCACCATGTTTCCAAATCATTTCACATTTTACTGCATGTGAATTTTCGCTGGGAACATGTGCCTACTACTCGTTTTCAGCAAAAAGTGTAGAATTGGCACTGACACAAAAAACTGGAGTCGTCGTGAGGCGGATATATCGCCTCAAATGAAAAAAAGCATCATCTTGTGTGAATTTGTAGAAAATTCTGGCTTGGTTTCCTGTTCTTGTTGAGAATTGCAGATTTTTTTCTGCTTCTGTTTGTGTCGTGAGGAGTAAATGTGATCAATTCCTCACGTCAAGTTTAATCAGAGTGGGAGAGAAAGTGCATGCATTCCTAACTCTCGGCTGGAATTAAACGGGTCGTAATTTGAATGTGAAGCACGTTTAAAAAAACGAGAACATTATTGTATGGATGAAGGAGAGGTTTTAGGCTTTTCTAACCAAGTGAACTTTTAAGTTAGCAAAGATGACTGGAGAATTTAGGAATTTTGCTTAAAAATATAAATAAATTTTTGTAAAATGATGCATGTTAAGTTTTGTACGAAAATATTTATGAATTTTTCAGATTTTATCTAAAAATAGTTACATCTTCCCAATCTGAACTCATCTTTTTGGACGGACAATCACCAAAACAAGCTGTTCCCGACCATGTCTCCAGTGGACGTGTCGACACGTCCGCCCGCACCCAACCCAAACCACCGTCAATGTCAAGTAGAAGTTTAACGAAATGATGACAAGCCTAAAACCACCTCAGTCTCGGTCTAATTATCCAGTCGGGATAAAGCAAGTGAACCAAACTATAACGACCAAAACTAACCAAACCCGACCTGTTTTATAGTCATTCATCTCCTCCTTGTGTGTGCATCGTTCGTTTCGTAGTGAAAGTCACGATGCAGCCATAGCTTTCTCTCTTCCCAAGCCAGCCATAGTACTCGCAACGAATGCTAAATACGGTCGGATTAAGGGATTAAATTAAGTCGGATCCACTTCATCATCATCGCCCACGAACGTAACGCATCGTCGCGACCACCAACACCACAAAAACATGAAGACTGACCACTCCAAAGTGATGTTATTGTACGAAATAGTTCCCCTCTTGGTGATCACCTTTGCGCCCAGGTCGTCCTCCGACTTCAATGTCATCCTCCCCGAGCTGTGTTCTGCCCCTGGACGGCTTAATCTGACTTGGATTGAGAGCATGGTGCGGTTGGGGATAAGAGAGGAGCAGGCTCATCATGCCCTCAACATTTGGGGGACGAAAGGTAAGGTATTTCGGAGGAGTGGCCGCGGAAGTGTGGGGACAGAGGGACAATGTCCCCGGGGTTGTTCGATGTCCGCATCATCTCCCCATGTTGTACAAATCCCTCCCTCCCCCATCCTACAATGTTAATGTCCCCCGATGTCCCCACAGCTTCCGCGGCAAATGGTCATGAGAGTCTCATTCCTGCTGCAGAGAAGTGGCGGCGGAAGCGAGGGGACAGTGGGACATTGCCCCCAGAAATTGAGAAAAATCCCATCTTCCCCATATGTTAATAAGCTCCCTCCTACTCCTATAAATGTCCCCAAATGTCCCCCCAATTCCGCTGCCACTGGTCATGTTTGGTGGAAAAGATGAGCAATATAATATTTCAAAATGATGTGTTTGTTTTGCTCTAGAAATCTGTGATGGAAGTAACGGACTTTTGCAATTTATTTCGGTTGCGCAATCGGCCCCTTCAAGTCGGATGATTGCCTCCCTCCAGGAACCACTTTGTCCTTCGGCTTCAACTTTTGCAAGGATCAACAAACGACAGTTGGTGTCCTGGACGTGTTCTCAGGTGGGTTCGTTTCGTGTGCCAAATTTCCCAATATTTTGTGGATCATTGTCTTTTCTAGGGTTTTATGAAGCGTAGGTACATATTCTTCAAATAATAGCGAAAATTTTTGTGTATCTGAAGAAAGCTAGAAATAAATTAATATGTAACAATGTGAAAATATTTTGAGATTTTTGTGATCTAGAAGAGTTTGGGGATCATACTCACAATTTTACCGTCGGTCGTCATCAAACGAAAAATTTGACAATAAATACATGTCCGCTATCTGTTTATTAGTTTAGACTGCTGGAATGGGTGTGAAACTGTGAAACTCACGACAAATATGGATGCTTTAATATTGCTAAATTCGAAACATGTAATTTTTTCAAGAAGTAAAGTTTTTAATGTTCATGAGCGAGATCAATTTCCAATTTTTAACTATTTTTATTCAATTACTTTTCGATTATTAAAGACCTTAATGTAAAATGTGTTACAACATGTTAATTAATAATTATAAAGTAACGAGTTTTTATATGAATATTAATCAAGATTATTAATAATCTTCCTTCGAAGAACCAATCTTAGTCTAGATATCTTCATCCGAAATACCGTCGACGTCAATTGTTTCATCTTCTTCATCTTGAGTCACCCACCCAGATTCATCTTCTACATCTTGCGTCTCATTGGCATCTTCAGCACCATCATCATCATTGGCAGTTTCCGGATCATCTTCGTCATCGGCAGATTCATCATCATCACTTTCGTCATCACTGTCATCACTGCTCTCATCTTCGCTTTCTGATTCCAGTTTATCTACCTCGTCGTCACTATCATCTTCATCTTCATCCTCACTATTTTCATCTTGATCCTTGTTATTTCTCTTTTCTATCAATCGGGTCCACTTCTTGCTGCAATGTGGAACTGGAGCACCTTCGGCAGCCTCTTGTTCTTCTTCTTCCAAAGCGGCGAGGTCATCATGTTCTTCAATGATGCGTTCAACGTCTTTCCACTTGTAGAAAAATGACGCGGGGGGAAGGTAGGGACGCTTGATGCCTGCCTTGAGGGACTTTGTGCGAGAAAATCGTGAATAATGGACGTAGATCTCCTCCTCAAAATCGTTCAAGTTGTCAAAACCTTCCTTCGGTTTCAACTTGAGGGCTCGAATATGAATCGCAGATGCGACACTTTGAGGGTTGTCGGGATGGAACGTTCCTACAAAGAGAAAACGGAACAATTTATTCACTCACCAATACCAAACTAAAATAGTATTATCATGATAAGGACAAACTCACTTCGATCAAATGTCCGTTGCTTGACGCCATTTTTCTCGTTCCAAGTCCCCCAGTATTCATCTCGACTTTGTATGTACTTGTCCAGAGAGGTAATGGTGGCCAGTAGAATGTCCCTGTTAAACATTTCCATCATACGTTCCAGTTGCTCTTCAGTTGGGGGCTGTTGAGGATTCGCTGGGAAGCAAAACGGAGTGGCTGATGGCAACGTTTTCTCCTTCACCTCTGTCAGCTTTCTCAGAATGTCAGGCAAGTGTCGATATTGGAACACATTGTAGCGAGTCATTGCATACGCCTCGTGGTACTAGTCAAGTAAAAAATTTTGAGGTTTCAAAATAAATAAATAAATTATAAAAATTATTAACTTTAAAAACTCAAGTATTAATTATGTACTTCTTCCAGTGTAGAGTTCTTTTTATCTTCCAAATTACGGGACAAGATTTTGTAGCGGGTCAAACAACCTTTCCTATTCTTGAAGGAAGAAAATTGTTCAGAAATCTTTTGCCAGTTGCGATTCATCGATACAGCCAAATCCATTAACAAGCGATCTTCCGCCCTACAATCATTACATTTTTTTAAATGGTAATAATAATTACGTACTAATAACCGCAAATATTATTAATGTGTTTCTTCCGACTCACAAAGTCCAAGGGACAATCCAATCGTTGAATAGATTGGTAGCACGGTCGCGCCAAGTGGTTTCATACCGCCATGGAAGATAATGCAACAAATAGCCAAAATGTCCCTCATCACAGAGAAAAGGTTTCAAACGTTGCATGGTTAGAAGTAGCAAGCAGTCTTCCGTTCGAGAAAACGGTCCCACTTTGATGAACGGATTCAGCTTTTTGTACCGCTCCTGTGCCACCCTTTTCGTAATTCCCTCATGATTCAGCGATGCAGCAACCTTTCGCCAGTGTCCCGGATTTTCTTGAATTCCTGTTTTGAGTTTTTCGTCCATTTCTTTAGTCCACACGGGTTTTGGGGGAGGAGCCACATGTGTGATGTAACGTTTCATGCACTGAAATGCTGTATGTGGCAGAGTCGATTGACCATTCTTATCGACGCTGATTCGTCTGGCGATCTCGTCCCAGTCCTGCACCTTTTCCACGTCGTTCAGATATTGAATTTGTCGGGTTTGTTCAGCCGTCAATCTCTTGTGATTAATCTGTTTGATAAATCAAACCAATATGTAATAACTTATGATAAATAGGAAAACAGAATAATTAATTCAATTCTGTAATTATGTAATTATCCACCTTGGGATCAATGGCATGCGTGTATGTACGACTGCAATCGTCATCGGATCGCAATTTCTTTGTCCGAGTCATCATTTTCAAAGAAACCTCATCCCAATCGATCATTTTGTCGTTATTTTTGTCCTTCATCAACGTGTCAAAGCTCATGTTTCGCAGGCGTTTCTCCATCATGGTTCGCCACTCGCTGAGCTGTTTGGGCAATATTTCGTATGCAACTGTGTGATCCTGCGTACGAAGGAGAATCGGATAAACGATCCCGTACTTGTCGCGTTGCTTAGTTTCCTCCTTGGTCGGTCGTCCACGCCTTCGTTTCCGAGGAGGCTGGTTAACTTCATCCATTGGTTTCCCTTCTCGACACATTTCGTCCTTCCGACGGATCTCCGACTCCAATAAGAGCTCTGAATAACGGCCGTTTAAGTCATCAATCCGTTGTGAAACGACGCATTCTTTAATAGCTTGTTTTAAGGCTTTCAAATCCTTCTGGGTCCCTAAAATCGAAGTACCAAACAATTTAATAATGAATTATTCATCAACATTACGTAAGTACCATTAATACCGAATAATATGCTTACACTTTTGTTTCCGAACGGGAAAAGGCATGTGGTTCTTCTGAGCATTACGATTAGCATTTGGAAATTCAAATGATAACATTCCGTCTTCAGTTTTGAAGTAGGGAGGCTCCATCATCATCTTCACCCCTCTGATTCCAGTGATGCTCATCTCATCGAATTTGGCATCGTTCATGTTCTCTCTGTAATACAGATCCTGAAACTTTTCCTAAAGAACAATTAATTGATGTTCATTTTGAATTAATTCAATATCCATTTTTTGAATTTGATAATTAATCAGGCAAAATATAAAACTATGTGCTCACCAAAAGTTCATATTTTTGTGTCTTTACTGATTGCATATTGGCCGTTGCTTCATTGATCTGCATCGCGATGATTCTTCCCGAGCCGGCCAACTTGTACAGATCCATCTTCATCATGTTTTTAATTTCTGAAAAGTAGCAAAATTAATCACAACTCATTAAGTTTCATTACATCAATTAAGCAGAAATAATGGATGAACAATTACTCTACCTCGCAGCCTGTGCGTAAATTCAAGGCAATCAATTGACCTGGTCTTCTTCCCGTATGGAAACGGGGCAATACCAGCGGTCCTTGTGCAAAATTCCAACATTTCATACTTCTCATTGTGCAAAACCACGTCTGCCAGGTCGATCAGCCACTTCTTGTTGTCAAGCCGGGCCTTAGCATCCACACAGCTCGCGATATACACGAGATGTTCCGCTCTCAAAATTCCATTGAGGAAGATAGGTGTTGATTGGTTCACTTCTTTCGGCAACATCACTTGATTTCGTTTATCAGAAGATTGTATCAGAAATCGGTTGTCAATCCGCTTCAATTCCTCGTACCTCCGGATTGTGGCCTCTTTGGAGATGTGCAACGTCCGCATCATGGTTGACACGATAGAACCAGTAAATCGGTTCGGCAAGGGGGATGTTATATCCGCTTTAGGCATAATTTCTACAATAAAAAATAGTCAACCAATCCATAATTAATTAACTAGCTAGTGATTTTAACAAATAAATAATAATATATGAGTTATTATTTAGCTCTGCTCACCATTAGTCTTGAGTGCCGCACAAGCCAGTTTCACATCAGCCTCGGAAAAAAGTCTTTCTTCCTCCGTTACAGGAATTGAAGCATCTTCAATTTCAGCTTCCGGGTTTCGACCAAGTTTTGTTTTGATTGGTGCTGCAGGAGGACAATGATCTTGCTTTTCTCTCCGCCTGTAGGACGAGGTGTTTAACAAGTCCTTCCGTTCTCCACCCACAGCAACCGAAGGGCGGCGACCCAGACTGCCCGACGAACATGGTTCTTCTTCTTCCGCATCCTTCCACTTCTTATTTTTACTTGGTCGTGAACGTGACTTCCTCCCTTCGTCGGACTCGTAATCAGACCCAGAGTTAGAAGAACTGTCGTCATCTTCACCTATGTCTTTCCGTTTAAATGCCGCATCACTCCTTCGTCCACCGAACATTTGAATGTCGTCGTCTTGTAAAGTGTTCAGGAAAGCGTCCATCTCATTAGAGACGAGGTGAACAATTGCTGCATCTGGGATTTCGGAATCCTTCTCCACAGCATCGACGACCGCTGTTTCGTCGTCCTCAATAATGTCCAAGTCCATCGACACTTCCACTTGTTCTTCCACCCTAACATTGTTCCCTAACTCTAACTTTACTTCACTCTCTGTCTCCTCACCTAGGACCTTATCCGGGTCAAGTAACACCAAGGACATGATGCCGCAGTTTGCTACTACTCCTCTACTTGTTTTTCTATTTTAACTAATAAAGGTGTAGGTAATCAAAAATTAATTAAATTTAATACCTCGAAAAAAAACTACACCAAAAAAACCTGTCTGCCTGTCTGCCTCGGCTGCTTTCTAATAACGAACTGATGATGGAGCAGGAGCACGCTCTCACCTTTCTGTTCAGCCGGGCTCGTCAGATGGTGCAATGTGTGACTTGATCAAAGTTGAATACAGTAAATTTTATAATTTGAGATTGGACAAATCTAAAATTTCTTTCTATTCTGTGGGACAAGTTGAAATTAATGTCGTACGACGCAGTGGCCGCGGAAGCTGTGGGGACACGTGGGGACATTAACATTGTAGGATAAGAGAGGGAGGGGTTTGAATGACATGGGGAGATGATGGGGACATCGAATTACCGTGTCTCACGAACAATGTCCTCACTGGTCTATTCTTATAAATTCAAGAAATTTTATGGGCAAACTATGAAATAAAATCTCTTCAAAATTATTTTAATTGACTGTGATAGGATTATATGAGTGTGAGACTAGAATTTTTTTTGTGGTTTGAGAAATTGAGACAAACATGAGACGGGGTCTCCAGAGACAAAATTAAGCTTAAATACGCATTCTGTAAATAAATAAATGCGCAATCTCATCTTATACGATTGACGTCAAACTTATGCATTTCTATGTATGTAGAGATTTACATATGTACATATGTAGATAATATTATGTATCCGACCAATTTCAATTTTGCACTCACGATTGCATTTACATTTTCAACACAATTGTTTCCATCCACTTTCTGCTACTTTCCCTCCCTCCCATTTCCATTCTGCCCATAAAGAATTCACTTTTAAGCCAACTATTCCATCGGTTCACTCCATTTCACGCCCACCAAGAAGAACAATATCGCATCATCAGGAGTCGCAGAATTGCAAAACACGTGTGACTATACTGCCGATTCGTACGTTTGCTCTCTCACTTGGACGGAAAATGAGATGAAAACACTCTTTTGTGGACGGGGTTTATACAGAAATGGGATAAATTTGGGCAATAATTCCATTCGACGGGGAGCAGAGGGACGACAAGCCGCGGAAGCTGTGGGGACGTCTGGGGGCATTAACATTGTGGGATAGGGGAGGGAGGGGTTTATATCACATGGGGACATGATGGGGACATCGAACAACCGTGGGGACATTGTCATCTTTCTGTCCACACGCTTCCGCGGCCACTGCAAAAGTATGTATGTGGTTTGGTTTACTTGGTTTTGCAGAGATCCGAATACACCCAAAATATATGCATAAATTCATAAAATGAGACCTTTCTCGTCAAAAATACATTGTTTTCTTTGATGAAAGTCGTCTAACTAAAATGAAATTTGTCCTTACCGTCATTTCTTTCATTTCCTTCCAGATGCCTGGAGTCCAGTCCATGAAGCCCGACTTGGCCGAAGTCAGTTTAGCCATTCAACGCATGCTGAACTATACGGGATGGGAAAATGTAGCCCTTACAAAGTCACGATATGGTGAGTGAGCCCTTGTCACGTTTCCAATTTTAGGTAAAAATAAGTAAATTCGACCACGTGTTTGCATTTCGACCCGTCAAGACTTGACAAAAAGTCGATCCTTCCAGTGAAATTGACAAATATCACAATTTTCCTCCCTCATCGTGGCAGAAACAGATCCTCTTTTCTAAAAATGAGTCTGTCTACATACATACGTCTGGATCTGGATATCTTCACAAAATGAGGCTAAACCAGACCAGAACACATCCGGGATGTGTTTCGTATCGTAATAGGTTGACTGGAAAATGACACAAACACAACAAAACAGACAAAAGTGAAAGAGAGATCCGAAGAGAGAGGGAGAGATGAAGGACTGAATACATAATTTTGGAGAGGAGGACGACTTTCACCAGAATGAGGACACCTAGCTCCCTCCTCATAACAAAATGCTGCACAGGGCAGAAAATCAAATCCTTTGTGAAGCAGGACAATCTATACGGGAAAATATTCTCCAAAATCCATAATAAAAAGACACCTTTTTACTAGACAAGTCTTTCAAAAAATAACATTTTAAAAGAACCTTCAGAGTCTTTTGTATGTGGCTTTATTTCAATTACTAGTGCAAGATTGCACTCTTGAAAAGTTGGAAATTTTTCTCTTTCTTTCTTTCACAATAAACCAATCCGAGCGCATATTTACCACAAGTATTCACACCGATGGAAATGCAAATCCGTGGAATTTGTTCAATACACAATCTCATCGGCCCATCCCGATCCACAATGGGCTATATGTACAGATGTACATACATACATATGCAGTCCAAATACAATTCAATCCTCCCCTTGTAATCCCCAATTTAATCAAGATGTCCCAATTTTCCGTGTAAACCAGACTTGTTTGTGTGCGTAGGAGAAGTTAACAATGAAAAGTGTAATTTGTATGAAAATTCTTCCAGTATCTCCGCCTCCTATTTTCGGCAAACTTATCCAACTCATCAGCAATACACAGTGGCCGCGGAAGCCGTGGGGACATTAACATTGTAGGATAGGGGAGGGCGGGGTTTATATAACATGGGCAGATGATGGAGTCTTGGGGACATTGTCCCTCTGTCCCACGCAGCTTCCGCGGCCACTGGCAAATACACACGCAGAACTAAAAGTCATAATAGTTTTCTCCCGAATTTTGTTCTCGTTTCGTGAGAAATGTACTCGAGTAGATATCGAGTGTCTGGATTGGATTTGATTAAATTTTTGTGTTCCAGATCGCAGCCCGTATTGTGACGATGTCGGAGCTTATTTGTTGAGTGAAATTAGAAATTTTTCATCAAACAATGCATCCTCCTCTTCTGCTCCTGGGGTACTTCTATTGGGCAATTTTGAGGACTTGGATCAGTACGAGGCGCTGTCTTTCAACAGCAATTTGGATGGTGAGTGATGTGATGATCTCTTGGGATTAATTTTTATGGTTGGACGCCGTTTTTGGGAATTTGAAGGGTGGAATATCTTTAAAATTTTAAAAGATGCGAACTGAAGTTAGGTTAAATTCACGTTACGAATGTTGATGGGGGATGAGTTGTTGATAAACATTTTACGCAATAGGCAGGCATCCAGCGATTAAATATTACTGACCTGCACACACAACCGTGTTTTCATATTTTTCAGCATTTATTGTTATTTTATGAGTCTTCTAATGCTAACATAATTTGGAGAAAGGTATGAAAATCCCGAAATATGTAGTTTTAGAAGCGTATTGTGAAATATATCTCCTGTCCTCCGGGCAGCCAACGAATCCGGAAAATCTGACAAATGAATGATTCACCAAATAAAATATTGCCATGTTTCTGAGGTCTCTTTATTCCCATTTTCTTTCATAACTGGAAAGATAAAATGGTACAAAGCAAAATCGAGCAGAAAAAAAGGGTAGAAAGTAACCAGCCAACTTTAAGAACACATAAGCCCTCGTCTTATCAAAATAAATACGCCAAATAAATTATGCAGTCTTGTTCTTCAAAATTGTGTCTGATAAATAAATCCTTTTTCCACAATCTTCCGATTTTGATGAGGTTCTGGCTTAAGAAATATCTGTGCATACTTATTTTTGCGAGGAAAGATAATAATGTGAAAACATCACTTGTTAGCAAGCACCTCGGGGAATGAGTGACTTTTCTTGACTCGACTTTTACTTAGGGTAAAAATAAAGAGTTGCTGGTTGAAAGTGTGGGAGTGAAAGTACGGACGGTGGTATCTGCCCGTGCAATTTAATCACGAGGAGAGTATGGTGAGTAGTCTGAGTAGCTCTCGCTTTCTTTTTTCTCCTGTGGTTTTTTACGGCTTCCTGTCTCTCCAAAAATAATGGAGAGAGATTCTTCACTCCTCAAGGCCACGTAAGTAAACTGGTGAAAAATATGAATCCGCCTGAATACTTGGGATTTTGTTAGAGGAGAAAGTGGTGAAAGTGACAAGCTACCAAAAACAGAATCTATGTAATCTAGTCTCATGCAAGAAAAAACTTGTAAACGTTGCAAAAATTAAGTCAGGCTTACTCTTAAGGAAGTTGGATGGAACTTTTCATTTATTTGCTTTTGGTTTAATTAGTCTAATTAGTTCTGGAGTAATAAGCAGGTGGAAAAATTATTTTTTTAATTTCCGTAAAAAATGAATGTAAAATCATTTTTCGATTTTTGCATGAAAATAATTTTGACATGCCTTCTTAAGTATGTACACACAATTGCGTAAAATTGATTGACATTTTACCAGGGGTGGGGAAAATACTTTGTCAAAATACAGTATTTTGAGCTCCATCCTTCCCAGAGTTTGGATCTTCAGGGTTGTAATACTAACAAAAGACGAGAATCTGCATGGAGAGTACAACAGTCTTACAAAAATAGAGGTTTCGTGAAGAATTTAACGTTTAATCCCTGTAAAACTACATTGTTTCCACGATTTAACAACTAAAGTACTTTGCCCATGTCTAAAATGATTTTACATAACTGACTTTTTCTTTGTACAGGATTGTTTCTCTGCATCTCGTACGATTACGGATTTACGAATAATTTGTCGCTGATTGGTGACCGGGGAAGGCTGAGTAGCAGCACCGTTCCGACCGTTCTTCTCCCCCAGTGGCCACTTCCGGTCGAGTTCTTCTCTCCAGAAACACCCACGCTTGCAGTTGTGGCGGATTCGCATCCAAGAAGCACCCAAACCACGAGCTCGTTTGATTTCCAGGTAAATTTTGAAATGATTAAATAATTTCGAAATTACCAGAAATTCTTTTCATTTCCAGCAAAAAAACTGGGACCCTTTGGACACAACAGTGGAAAACATTTTGCCACATAAATTACTGGTGAGAAAGTCGAAACTATTGTTTACATACACGTATATTTCATAAATTTAGGAAAACAAAGTGCTAAAATTCAGATAGGCCTCCTGTGACTATATTTGTGCTAAAAATCCTACCCATTAAAACCCTCAGATAAAGAAGCTACCCCACTCGCCACTTTACTATTCCAGCTCCTTTTATCATCTTCATTGCAAAGAAAGAAAGTAAACTTTCTCCTCTTTCCTGAACCTCAAGTTCACCCCTCGCAGTCTGTTCCTTCCCATGATGACCTTCATAATCTAACGTTTTATATCATCAGCAGAATTTCCGGACCCTTTTTTTATCGACCTCGCTTAACTGAATCTTTAAACTAAACCTTTTTACGTACTTCTCAAGGTACTAAATTGATTCCAGTACGAAAGGACGAGCCAGTTTAGGGGTATAAGGTCGTCACGTCGGTGAAAGGTACCCTTCCAGTGGCCGCGGAAGGGTGTGGACAGATGGACAATGTCCCCACGGTTATTCGATGTCCCCATCATCTCCCCATGTTATACAAACCCCACCCTCCCCTATCCCACAATGTTAATGTCCCCACGGCTTCCGCGGCTACTGCAGCCTTTACTTCCTCCCAGTCAGCACAAAGTGTACTTTCCTGAATTTATGTCATAACTATGCGAGCCCCATCTCGTAATCGGGTGGATAACGATGTCATATCTTTTCAGTGTGCCGAGATCGCAAAATTATTATGTGGCTCTTCTCCCCCCAATCAAATTTTGACACTTTTTTTTTCTCTCTCTACTTATTTAGGAAACTCTCCTGGCACAAATGGTCGTTCGGGCTGTCAAGCTCTCGATCGAGTTGGACCGCAAAGAGCATCCTCCGCGACATGGCGTTGGTACCGGTGGATCTGTTCCTGGTGGTGGAAAGCATGGCGAAAACAGCGACTTGTTCCATGACCGTCACCAGTTTTTGTTTTCCGTCCTCCAGTTTGAAAAGTCCAGGTGAGTCGTCTGAGCAGAGATAACTTTCTATTCAAAGCAAACTATTTCCTCCACTTTATTATCTCTTTTGGTCGTAGTGAGTGAGTAGAGTATAACGTAACGTGTGCCCGTAAATAATGTAGAATTGATGGCGGCTTTAGAAAAGTTGGGGGAAAAGTTTTTATACGTGGTGGTAAACCCCAAAGTCAGCTAGGGCTTTGTTTGTGGACTTGGCTATGATTTTGCTACCGTGTTAGAAGGGGAGATAAGGTGGGGAAAGGATAAGGTGGACATGGCATGTATTTAGTGATGGGTGGGGAGATTGAAACTATTGCAAATATGTGCAAAATAATTGGGGGTTTGGATGAATTTTGATTTGGTAAAGGTGAACACCATTTTAGGAAATTTTGCAATATTTTAATGGAGAATATAATTTTAGGTAGTTTAGGACGTTTCCACTTTAATTGAATGAAATTCAACTTTTGGATTTGCAAAGGTGAATGCAATTTCAGAAAATTTTGCAATTTTTTAATCGAGAATGGAATTTTAGATCGTTTAGGTTTAGGACGTTTCAACTTTAAATTAAATTCAACTTTTAGATTTTACAAAGGTGAACGCCATTTCAGGAAATTTTATAATATTGTAATCATGAATAGTTTTAGATCTAAACCGAACGCCTCCACCACTTCAATTAAATTAAATTAAACTGAAGATTCCTTGAACAGTTAGGAAACAACCAACCATAAAAATATGCAAATTTCCCTCTTCAACTTAAAATTTTGATATTCCTTTCTCCCCAAAAAGTCAAAAGTATGAAACGCACTTGAAAACAAATCAGTTATAAAAAAAGAATGGGCACTTTAACCCAGAGACATTTTCGTTTTATATCATTTCCACTTTCTCCACGATACGAAGACGAAATTATGTTCACTATACTGCACCACATCCTCCATCCATATCCTTAAAAGGGGTCCCACAAACCGGGCAACTTTCCCCATAAATATTGGTAAACCTGCGATTACTATTCTGATTCCTTTTTACTCGTTTCTGTTCCCCACCGACGACGACGAGGACGACGACGAGAATCTCTGTAGCACGAGCAGACGACATGATGATACCATGAAGTAATTCTGGCAATAGCTTTCCCAAAAGTTTGCTCACTTCACTCACTTTGTTGGAAAAAGTCAACCTGGGAACATTCATACGAAATGACAATGAAGGCCCGGAATCAATAAAGGTCTTCAATGATTTGATGGATCGAAATATAATCCACAGAGTTTTAAATGATAACGATAATAATAAGGAATGCGGATCACGTAAAAGTGCAAATTGTGGTGGTGACGATAAAATTGAAATGAATTTATGGTCGTCTCCGTTTAATTAAAAGTGAAACAATAAACTATGTATACCAACCGGGCCTGTCGTCTGCACATGCATAAGTCCACGTACTGCGTAGGAGGTGGTGTTGGTGTCATGTGTGTCTGGCGCAGTGGCCGCGGAACAATGCCCCCACGGTTATTCGATGTCCGCATCATCTGCCCATGTTATACAAACCCCGCCCTCCCCTATCCTGCAATGTTAATGTCCCCCGATGTCCCCACGGCTTCCGCGGCCACTGAGGATTCAGGCTACTCAAATATATGTACATGAGGCAGTGGCCTCGGAAGCGTGGGGACGGAGGGACAATGTCCCCACGGTTATTCGATGTCCCCATCATCTCCCCATGTTATATAAACCCCGCCCTCCCCTATCCTACGATGTTAATGTCCCCACGGCTTCCGCGGTCACTGACTTGTCTTGCCGCATTGGCGACTGGCGTGAGTTAACCGTGGTGCACATACATTATATAACAGCCGCTGCTTCTTTCTTTCCTTCAGGTGGCACCCCTTAATAAACTTGGTTAATGGAGAAAAGCACTTTAGTTCCAAAGGACCTCCGGGAATTCACCGCCGCAGCTACTTCAGAAAAGGGGCTCATTCCACCGGCCGTGATGGGACAGGGCTGCGGGGCGAAGGTGCAGACAGGAGTGGGACAGGTATGTACGAATTTCGGCTTGATTGAGTCGTGTGACATGCTTAATTAAGAAGAAATAATTTATCACCACTTAATCAAAACGGTCAAAATTAGTTATTAATTATGGAGAAAATTATGTGTGAGTTGAGTGCCAATTGTATTTTTTTGCAAGGTTTTGTCTTAATTAAGAATAGTGAAGATGAAGAAACGGTGGATGTGAATGTGCATAACACAAAAATTGAGATGCTTTTTAGCTATCTGGTAAAGTAAACGGGGAAACTTTTATTGTGACGACTTGCTCCACAAACACGACCGTTTAGGGAAAGAATGGCCTCCTGAATGGAATAGAATTGCTGAGAGAAAGTGTCCAGGGACTTGAGAGAGACTAACTTCTTCTTCTTCTGTAGAATCTTGCCTTTGTTGATGTACATACAGTGGCCGCGGAACAGGGTGGGGACAGAGGGACTGTCCCCACGATAATTCGACATCTGCCCATGTTATATAAACCCCTCCCTCCCCTATCCTACAATTTAATGTCCCCACAGCTTCTTCCGCGGCCACTGTGCACATACCTCCTCCTCCACCACTCACATTGTGTGTGAATTATATATCAAAGTACATCAAAAGTCCTCAAAGTTCAGAAAGTATATCTGTCAGAGTCATCGTCTCATATAAATCAAGTCATGACTTGGGAACGTGTACATATTTGGCAGACTTTCTCTGCTGCTGTGGACAGTTCAATCTGGTCCGTCCTTCAACTGGACTGGACAAAGCGAACCCTTCAATTCTCACGGTGGTGGGTGTAACTCTGAATCAGTGGCCGCGGAAGCGTGGGGACATTAACATTGAAGGATAGGGGAGGGAGGGGTTTATATAACATGGGCAGATGATGGGGACATCGAATAACCGTGGGGACATTGTCCCTCTGTCCCCACGCCACTGATTCTGACGCTGTCTCTCAATTTCGACGCGATCCTATTAAACCAACCACTCACTTTTTTTTTAAACGGAATGTTTCAAAGTTTGTATTTTTCTTGATAATTTATTGGAACCATTTTCACCCACCCAAAGAAACAGCAAACACATGTGCTCCCGGAAAGTTTGAGAAAGTCATCTCCTCGTGAAATCTACGACCATCAAAGTTTTCGAGGTCAGCGTCGGTAAAGCTAGTTGTGTCTGAGCCCTTGTTTTTTGTCCTTGGCACTAGTCCAGTCTCATTCAATCTACCGACCACACAATTGATAATCTTTTTTTTGTTACGTGGCTCCTCCCAACAAAAAAGTATTTCTATCCGATTCTGAATACTTTAAAGAGAGACATCCTTCAACCGTGTGATTCGGAGGAGGTGATGAGCGGAGGGCGGATATGTATTTATATATATTTTCAACTTTTGCATTGGATGAAGATGGACGGACAGACTTTGTGCTTGTGTTCATAAAACTCGTATAGATAAAACAAATTTCAAAAAATTTCCAATTATTGTTAGATATTTCAAGGTTTTCAGATATATTTATAAATATATTTTAAAAATACGTAAATCTCCTATATATTTTTTCAAAAATACATATATTTTGTAAATATTTCAACGATACGAGACGAAATTTTGTGTTCAAAGACATTCTACTACAATAAATGCAGAGCATTACATTAACATATATAAATTTTGCGAGGTTATTTTTACTTTTTTTCTACCTTTTTCAAGTACATATCCCCCCTCTGGTGATTAGGTCCCATTGTGAGCCTCATCCTACGTGACGTGTACACGTAAATTGGCCAATTTCATGAGATCCGTTTACCTTTTTGAAAAGGACAACTCACCCAGCATGCAGTAGGCATTGTGCGAGCGAGTAAAGTACACGGATAATGTTGATGATAGCCCTGTGTGGAGCACTGTAATGATGATGACTGAATAAGTGGGGTAAATCCGGTGTCCATTTTTAAAAACATTTTCTCTCTCGACAGACCTCAAGCGGAGGGAGGATTACCTGCTGACATGGTTCCAAATCGTTTTGGCAATGGTTACGACCGGAGTTGTGGCTTTTGGTCTCGTATTCGCCGCAATTTATGCGAGGTGAGCTTACATAACGTTAGACACAAACAAGGCGAGTATTTAACCACCTAATGAAGATAGAAATAACCAGTTATATAAACAGTGTTTCGTTCGGGTGCAAGTAACCAGTTTCAAAAAATAATGGCAAGAAAGTGTTTTTTTGCAGATATTTTGACCTGCAAGAAATGCAAAGCACAAGAAACGACGCCAATATCTCATAGGGCGCGTGGCTAAATAGCGTATTTTTGCACTTTCTTGCAGTTTTTTGCACTTTCTTGCACTTTTTTGCACTTTCATGCAGTTGGTTGCAATTTCTTGCAATTTCTTGCAATTTTTTGCAATTTCTTCCAGTTTTGTGCATTCCTTGCGTTTCATTCTTTGCCACACAAAAAATGTGGCAAACCCGTCAGAAACGAAACACTGAACTAAATACTTTTTTCCCCTTGAAATATCAGCCCAGAAACCATCAAAATAATAAATAACCTCCTTGTTGATTTTCTCCCTGCTTAATATAATTTAGGAGAAAGGCCCGGAAACGAGACTTTTCCTCGGCCAAGCATTGTCGCAAACTATCTCGTCGTCATCGAGTACCAGGATCATCTTGTAAATTGATACTTACCTCGGACGATTTATCATTCGGTTCTGCAGTCCCATCCGAAAGTAACAAAAAGGTAAAGAAAGAAAAAAGAAAATCAATCAACCAAATAATAAATCCGGCTCGAAAAAAAGAGCAAGTTCTTTCGCCTGGCTTATTTTTGCCCCCGTATAATTATCCTAATTCTTCCCATCCCCCAATTCATCACAGCACTGACAATAAGTTATTACTCTCCACAACGTAATATCTTTCGTACCCTTTTTTATCCGAGGATGTTGTTAAAACGAAGAAATAATATGCATCGAGTCGAGTGAGTCGAAGGTCTTTGCCAATCTGCAAACAATGTTGACTCGGTTTTGCGTATTTGACATTTATCATACTTTCTGCCATAACTTTGTCCTCGTTCCTGCCCCGACTTTCCCCACGGGCTGTAATCATAATGAAGGAAGTAGACTTTCACTTTACATTTATTACCTACTTTCTCCTCTTTCTCTTCCTCCTTCCTGATCATGAACTACATCTCGTCTGGTTGGCTGTGTAGCAATTGTGGATGGATATTCAGTGGCCGCGGAAGCATGAGCGGACAGAGGGGTAATGTCCCCACAGCTACTCGATGTCCCCATCATCTCCCCATGTTATATAAACCCTCTCCTACAATGTTAATGTCCCCCGATGTCCCCACACCGCTTCCGCGGCCACTGTGCCTGGATCTCGGTAGTATTTGATCCCCTGGAGCAGTTTGAGATTCCGTCTCTTTTCGAGCTCCTTTTTGGCTTTGAGTTTTGCGAGATGATAAATGTGAAGACTGGGATAATTTATTTGCAAATGCTTATTTTCCGGATGACAAACATGACAGGGAGGAAAGTCTCCGTTCATCGGGTCGCTGCCAGCCGCCTTCCAAAGATCCAGTTCTCAAGAGAAGGACAAGCCAGATCTGCTCAAAGGTTCCTTCTCCATCTCGGCCACCTTCAACAGGAACAAGGGCGGCGGAGGAGGAGGAGGAGGTGGTGGTGGTGGTGGAAATAACAACAACGGGAAAACCAGTAGCGATCTGAATAATGGAACTGCTCCTGGACCAGTTCCTCCCAAACATACAGCGAGACATAAAGTGAGTTGATGTCTCAATTTTAAAAACAGAGTCGTAAAGGAAGGATACATTTTGCCATAATATTTATAAAATGGATGGTCTTCACGTCTCCACAATTCGGTGGGCCATATTTTTGTAGGAGAGAGAGTCTCTTGGTGAAAGTGCGGGATGCACTGTTTTTTTCGTATGGCTACTTGACCTCTTTTGACACTAACTTTCACTGTGTCTTGTTTTACTTGTGAAGTATTTTTTGAGTTTTGACAAGTATCGCTTCAATAGAAAGGTTTTTAGAAATTGGGCTTATTTCACGGACGTAAAAGGTGCAGGGTACCGTTTTTGACAGTTGATAATTTCAGAAATATGCAGATTTCAGATTTTATAATATTTATAAAATTGATGTTCTTATTCTTGTCCCACAATTCGGTGAGCCATATTTTTGTAAGAAAGAGAAAGTACCGTGTTTCGGTGAAAGTGCGGGATGCACTTGTTTTTTAGTTCGGCTACTTGGCCTCTTTTAGGGCTAACTTTCACCGCGTCTTGTTTTACTTGTAAAATAATTTTTGAGGTTTGACAAGTATCGCGTCGATAGGAAGATTTTAAGAAAATTGTATTATTTTTTAGACGTAAAAGATGGGTCGATTCACTTGGCCAGAGCTGTTCAGTTTTCGTCAGTTGATAATTTCTGAATCAAGGCTAAATGAAATGCTAAAGTGCAACTATTAAACTATTTTTATGCATATAATTCTTGATTCTATTGTAACATTTTGTTTGACAATTTAGCTCCATTACTAACAAAATAATAATTATAGAATAAAATAAATTGTATAGAAAATAAATACGACTAATTTGATACATATTTATCTTAATAATCTTCTTTCCTTTATTGAAAAGCTTTCTTAAGAAATATTTTTAGCCTTGATTTAGTCCTCTTATACAAAAAATATAAAAGAAAATTTTCTAATTTACTAATTTTCTCTTAACAAATTACAGGGTGACATTGTCTACCTTCAAAAATTGCCAAATTCTTCTCCAGACCCTTTTGAAGTCAAAGTGAAAGCCATCCTGGTTCTGGAAACGGTATGTTTTTGTTATGCGTTAAACACATTAAAATAATTGTCACCAATTTATTTCATTACACAAAATTATTGAGCATTAAATAGATTTTTTTTTCAAAAGAGATCGAAAAATAATCACTTCTTTATGAAATAATTAAGGATGATTATCTACCCAAAATTATTGAGCACTTAATTCTTTTCGAAAAAGATGGACAAATTAGCTCTGCTTTGATAATAAATGGAATCAATGCATGATGATTAATAGGTTCACGGTTTGCGTCACGAAAATTTGGTGACTTTGGTCGGGTGTTTTCTTGGAACTGTGGGTGGATCTGGCGTCCCCAGGGGACCTGCCCTCGTGTGGGAGTACTGCACTCGGGGATCCCTCCATGACATCATTAAACAAAGCGATATCAAGTTGGATTGGGCTTTCAAACTTTCCCTGTTAACAGATTTAGTCCGGGTAAGGATGCATTTTTTGTTAAAATTTTCCAAATTTAACTTGCTAATTTTAATTAACTAATCTATAATTAACTTATTTTTATTAAGTAGTTTTACTTTTTCCAAAAATTTGGAATTGTACAATTTAACGAGTCTAGGTCTTCGATATCTATGCAATATTTTTTAACCTAACCCATCAAATTTTATTTGACGACGGAAAACCTTTACAAAATTTTGGATTTCTCATCTTTTAAATTTTTACTCAAGTCTTGGTAATGAATAGCATTCTAAATATTGACAAAATAAAAAGTTTCCTCATTTTCCAATTTGAAATTTCCGTGCAATCCAATTTAAGCTTTGCACAAAAATCATAAGTCAATCTCAATTTCAATTCAAACTTGTACTTATTTTCTGCTCAAATCCCACCATGTTAAACCACCCACTTATTGGCCTCATCTGGCCAAATTGTGTCACACATACTCCAATCGAAACACTTAAGCTTTGTACTTTCAAATCCCTTCGAGTAAGGATTTTTCATGGAGAAAGCAGTCGAGAGAGATCGACTCGAGTAAATAAAACCAGTTCCCTTCGTGAGGAGAAAGTCAGGCTGGTAGGCACGGCTGGATGAACAGTCCGGACTTTTAGGAAGGCAGCCTCCTCCTTTCACTTATTTTTTGCCTTAACCTCTCTCTCACCCTGCTCATTGTGTTTTAATGGATGACTGGCTACTCGTAACACCATCCATTTCTAGTCCAATTCTATCCCCATGTTAGGCCAGCTCGTTGGGACGAATTCCATTGTGGCCTGAACAAATAGAAAGAATTGATTTAATTTTGTACAGTGTAAAGCTAAATAAATCGTTGGAACGAGTGTAAAAAAGGGGTGAAAGCAGTGTGTTAGACATAGGTCAAAATGAATGTCATATGGTTTTTGCAAAGACGAAAGTCTGTTAAAATTGGCACGGCAGACGTGTTTTAGACGATTGTGACATCTATATATATCAAATTTAAAATTTGGTGACCTTTTTGTGACCTTTATGGTCAAAATAGAGGTCACCACTGAATTAGGGGTTAAATTTCAGTTCTAATTGACATATGCATCAGATTTAACATTTGGTGACCTTTTTGACCTTGAATGGTGTGACCTATGGTGAACCTCGCCATATCTGATAAGTTTAAAATTTCAAGTCTCTATGTCAAATCTTTCTCCCGTTATCGGACCAACAGACAGACAGACGGACATAACGATCTTATAAAGAGCTTTCACCCCTTAATAAATGGTTCATTTTGCCCCGCGGATTTTTCTAGAAGGAAGTAAATATCGTAGTTCAGCAGCAGTAATAATAATACAGCAGTATTTGATTTGATGGTTGGCAAGATTTCTCGTACTTTACTACAGCACACCCTGCGGCATCGTTCGTTGTAGAAAAAATGCCATTCCGAATTGGGAGAAAGTTGTGTGTGTAATCGTACTAAATGTTCCACAGGGAATGCGCTACCTCCACTCGAGCATGGTCCGAGTCCATGGATTCTTGACCTCTCATAATTGCGTGAGTCTATAATAATACTACTTCCCAACAGTGGCCGCAGATGGGTGGGGACATCTGGGGACATTAACATTGTAGGATAGGGAAGGGAGGGGTTTATATAACATGGCCAGATGATGGGGACATCGAATAAACCATGGGGACATTGTCCCTCTGTCCCCACGCCACTTCCGCGGCCACTGCTTCTGAGCATGGACAGATAGTGAATTTTAGTACGTACGCTTGTTTAGGTGATTGATGCCCGTTGGGTCCTAAAAATTACGGACTATGGACTTCCTGCTTTCTACTACACACAAGGACTCCCACTTCCCAAGCCAAGTGCTAAAGGTGAGTGGGTCAAGATCACTGCACGAGTTGGTCGTGGTAATACGCTGCTCATACTAAATTTCCAACTTTTTCTCACCACTTCGTTCGTATTCCAGCCCTGCTCTGGACAGCGCCTGAGTTATTGCGGGATGAAGGACTTCGCAACCAAGGGACGCCTGCTGGAGATGTCTACAGCTTCGCCATCATTGTGCAAGAGGTTCTCGTCCGAGGCGAGCCCTACTGCATGCTCACACTCACGGCAGAAGGTTAGTTAGTTAATTCGGCTTGGGACACTCTTAGAAAACTAGTGTTAAATCATTACCGAGCGGAGTACATGTATTTATGACTCTACACTGTTATAAATCTGGTATAGTTAGGCAGGTATTGATTCCTTGATATGAAAGTTGTACCGCTTGGTTAAAAGTATACTGGTACGTAAAAATTTGTTACTGATGTGGTAAAACTTTAATACTGAGCCGTTACTACATGGTATTACTATTACTTATCAATATCACTTTTGTAGTCATATATAAATACCGCTTGGTATTATTTTAATACTGGATTTTTAACAGTCTACCGGGACCGTTAATAACAGGCATTATCGTTGTGGTAGTGAAAAACTTATCACTCAGAAACAAACTACTACCAATCCGGTAGAAAGTTACTACCAAACCAATACCCGTCCAGAGTATATATCTGACTCTACCAGATTTTTAACAGTGTATCAGATTTGCTAGTGGACCAACACCTTTCTCCTTTCACTTTCCCCTCCGCCTAATAATCCGAGAGGATTAGCGGATAATTAGTTAGAGTCTGCTGACCTAGCTGGCACATCCACTCGATAAAATGTGTACGAGTTCACCACGTTATCGCGTTAGAGCAGCCAGGAGAATTATTGTACAAGAGGGGAAAAACTATAAAAGTGTTGGGATGGAATAATGGCGAAGCTTCTGCTGCTGCTCCAACGTGTCCAATAATGAACTTGGATCTGGGAACACCATGTGCACCAGGATACATAAGTTTGCTTGCCTTTTTTGCGAGAAAGTTGTTAAATCAACTTTTAATCTGGGTGACTCCAAACCAATCTCGACTCTTGGAAACTTTCTCCTTTTGAATTTCTGGGAACTTTGTTGATAATGATTTTCTTCGTGTTTTTTTTCTCCAGAAATTGTACCAACCAAGCAAGAATTTTGCGCTATGTAGTTTTATAATTTATTTTGACAAAGTTCAGTATTCAATTTTTCAATTTCACACCTTCCAATTCATGCATGCACAGGTGACCACTTACTCTTCACGAGCGCATTACTTTCTCTTTTTTGAAGCGGTTTCTAATTTTGTTCTTCCAAGATGTAACTTCTCTGAAGCCTATTTGTGAAACAACTTTGCGCTAATTTAGCCAATTCTCGCGAAGAAAGTGTTGTCATTAAGCACGAGTGGAATGGGTGCTTTGCGACGACAAAGTTGTTTTAATTTGGGAGACTTTCTCTCCCAGAAAAGAAAATTAAGTAAGAGGAGGAGGCCCTCCTGTTATCTCATTTTTGGTCTGTGAAATCCGAATTAGTCGCGTCCTGCAGTCACCAGCCAAACTAAAAATATATACATTTCTGCAGAAAACTATTTATAAGTGAGGGGAGAAAGAGAGAGATGGGATCAAAGTAAATTTGGTGATGTGGACAAGGAATCGTAAATATATTATCCTTGGGGACACGGACACAGTGGCCGCGGAAGCGTGGGGACAATGTCCCCACGGTTATTCGATGTCCCCATCATCTCCCCATGCTATACAAACCCCTCCCTCCCCTATCTCACAATGTTAATGTCCCCACAGCTTCCGCGGCCACTGGGATGATGATCCATTTGGTTGGGTGAAAGTCATGAGTGAATCGAGGTCGAATAATGAATTGACAGAACACGGAAAGCGTTTTCGTCAATGGAGCATCCCTTAATTTGTGTGGGATTGATTGCAGAGATCCTGGAGAAAGTGAAGCGTCCTCCACCCTTGATTCGGCCCTCAGTTAGTAAAGGAGTCGCACCCCCGGAGGCGATCAATATCATGGTAAGATATATACCTAATATATTGGCTAAATATGTATGGATTTATATAAAAGATAGTGAATATATTTAATAAATATTTGTATAGCGTCAGTGCTGGGCTGAACTTCCAGGTATTATTCTTATCAGCATTTAGTCCTCAGAAGCTTTTTCATCTAATCACCAATTCTTATATTTATTTTTAAATTGAAGATATGCGACCCGACTTTATGGTGATTCATGATCTGTTTAAAACCCTTAACCATGGAAGGTAAGTAATACGCTGGTAAAATATTTAGTTAGACTGCTTTTCTCCATGAATTTCCAATCTTAAGATTTTTTTAAATCTTAGCTGTCTTAATCAAAACTTGTCACACACATTTGTAAATATGTATTTGCCTGGCATAAAATTTTGTAAATTCTACTTGTCAATCTAACAATTTGGCTAATTTTGTATTTTGCGTACGTGCATCACAGTTTAGTACACTCAGCAATTCTTGAATATGGGAAACTAAATGCATCACAATATTCCCATTTGAAGTATTTACATACGTATTTATCCGTAACACAAGACTTACACACAAAAATACATCGTATATACGTATTTAGCTCTCCCAAAAGCACACCAAATTCAATTCAACCAGTGATTGAAAGCTTATCCTTGATCAAATCAAATCCGACATCCATCCTCCCTCTCGGCCTCCTCTAGCCGGCCTGTAATTGAAACTTGAACCTGGTGAAAGCCGTCACTAACTCGGAACCGTACCCTTTCTGAAAAATGACTACTGAAAAAATCATCCCAAACTGAAATAGAATATCTAAATTCGTTTCATTCCACCATTCGTAATTTTATCCAGCTCCATCACATTTTAATCTGTCTGATGATGCAGATAATAATTTTGTTTGTACTCTTGCTACACGAACGAAACGTCTTCTGAGAGAATATCTCTGGATGCGCATATTTGCATGGGATCAACGAACCAAACCCACGCTTTATGGCTGACTTTGAGGAGGCAAAACCTCTGCCTGAGTGAAAGCCAGTAATGAAATGGAATTGAGAGTGAAACTTTATATGTATGGATGGAAAATCTATTAAAACCTCAGGCCAGACATGTTAAACTAAACTTGCTCTTGTGGATTGGATGCGATGCGATGTGAGTTTGTTGTCAGGATGTGTACATGCATTATATGAGCCGTGTGTCTTGTCTGAGGAGTTGCAAATCCATCCCAAACTCACCACATCACACTTTCACTTTCAAGTGGTTACGCAAGTTACAGAGGAGCAGAGATGTATGAACTTGCATACTTCTCAGTTTACGGTTTTGCGGTTTTAATAAATATCCAGGGGAGCTGGGTGCGGTGCGAAACTTGAAGAAAGTCAAAGGGTACCAGAAATACGATCTTATAAGATATGACGCTTTACATCAGTGGCCGCCGAAGTGAAGTGTGGGGACAGAGGGGCAATGTCCCCACGGTTGTTCGATGTCCGCATCATCTCCCCATGTTATGCAAACCCCACCCTTTCCTATCCTATAATGTTACTGTCCCCACAGTTTCCGCGGCCACTGAAAGAGGTGCGATGACACGAAGCAGTCATATCATTTATGTTACATATGTATGTTTCTGACATGTATGTACATATCGCATCAAGTCGTATTAGATCTCCACCTTTTGAGGGAAGAAAGTTATTGCCTGTGTCGTTTGCAATTACTCATCAATCTCAATTCATCTCCAAAACTTATGTATTTTTCTCCGTAAACTAATCTCCTTCTCAGCCTTTGATCCTTACTCACTCGTACATATTTTATTTCTTTTTCCAGGAAAGCAAACATTGTCGACACGATGTTCCAAATGTTGGAAAAGTATTCCAACAACCTTGAGGATTTGATTCGAGAGAGGACCGAACAGTTGGATCAGCTTCTGAATCGAATGTTGCCCAAGTAAGTGCATAATAAATTAGTATCGAGATATCAGTGGCCGCGGAAGCGTGTGGGGACAGGACAGAGGGACAATGTCCCCACGGTTGTTCGATGTCCCCATCGTCTCCCCATGCTATGTCAACCCCTCCTTCCCATACCTGTTCAAAAAAATTTTTTTCATTCAAAATTTAGTCATCCCAATTTCTGACTGAAGATTTTCATTCGCCCTCATCCTCTTTCATTTTCTTTCAAACTCACTTCATTTCTTACTTCGCCCCATGTATTAAGCATAGGCTGAAAAATGAAATAAGTAAGAAATTTTTCATTCACATTCATTCATCTCAAATGACTGAATCTTTCACTCATTTTCATTCAAATCACAGGAAGTTAATTTTCATTCACTATCATTCTCTTTCATAATCAGTCACATGAATGAAAGTGAACAGGTATGCTGGGTCACTCCCCCATCCTACAACGTCCCCACACTTTCCGCGGCCACTGGTGCCTATTTACATGCGCTTACTGAGGAGGAGGTTACACACGTGGAGGAGTAAACTTGTTTACGAAATGGACCCCTTTTTTATACATTTTGACATTCACCTCTCATCCCGGAGGACAGTTGCAATAATCACGTTTGCTTTGTCTCACTGCAACTTTTCTGTTTTCCCCGAGATGAAAAGAATCTGACTCTAATTGAGTTAGAGCAAGTGAACTTGTCATTTCCTGTTTAGTTCGCTACTTACTTTCACGTCTGTAATTTTACTTTTAGCACGGTGGCCGAAAAGTTGAAGCTGGGTTTGCCCGTGGATCCAGAAGAGTTTTCCCAGGTGACGATCTACTTTAGCGATATCGTCGGCTTCACCACTATTTCCGCACACTCCACCCCGTTCGAAGTGGTTGACCTGCTGAATGACCTTTACACCTGCTTTGACGCCACGATCAACGACTACAACGTGTACAAGGTGAAAGTTTGGGTTATTATTAGCAGGCGTAATCTTGTTGCTATTTTTTTTCGTGGGATAATTCTTAGAGTTATCGTCTTAATTACTTGATCCAGGTTGAGTGAGGCTACTATTTTTGTTGTTGTTTTGTTTTTCACAGGTTGAGACGATTGGGGACGCGTACATGGTTGTTGGAGGGGTGCCCGTCCGCTCGCCAGATCATGCCGACCAAATTGCGACGATGGCGTTGGATCTGCTGCATCAAAGTGGACGTTTTAAAATCCGGCATTTGCCATTTACTCATTTAAGACTTCGGATTGGGCTACATACTGGTATGAATTTTTGCGATTAGTAAAACTACGTTGCAATTCTTATGATATGTACATAAACATGTCTTTCTTTCATTTAAGGTCCTTGCTGTGCTGGGGTAGTTGGACTTACGATGGTAATATTTATTAGCTAAATATGCATATATGTACTTCAAGTGGAGGTCTCCCAATGTATGCTTACGGATTTTGACCAAATTAGTACCAATCGATCAAAAAACGAATTAAAGTGAAAGTTGTAAAAGACACTATATGCAAATGCTCAGGTTTGGCAGAGGTATTTGCATCCGAAGAGCAGGAAGGCGGAATAAATTTCCAGAGTTGTCCTCTTTATGACGCACTTTCTCCACTTCGGATGCAAATATGTCAGCCAAACCTGAGAATTTCGAGATGGTCACTTTTGCAAATTTCATATTAATTAAGTTTGCGATCGATTGACACTAGTTTGCTCAAAATCGGAGGGCTTACGTTGGGACACCTCCATTTTTAGTTACATGGACATAATGATTACTTATATTGAATAAATTTCCAGCCAAGATATTGTTTATTCGGCGACACGGTCAACACGGCTTCAAGGATGGAATCCACCGGTACTGAATATACATCAAACAAATGTGCAGTCTTTCAAAATAAAAATAATTCTGCAACGGGTAAATAAAAACTTGCAGGTGCCCCGTGGAGAATCCACATTTCTTCGGAAACTAAAGCCAAATTAGACGAGGCTGGTGGATACATGGTCGAGTCAAGGTAAGACGAAAAGAAAACTCTTATTTTTACAGTTTTTATCATGTTTTCCCTTCAAATCGTAGTGATTCTCCTCTTCATAAAATAATAATAGTTGGTTGGTGAAAGTGGGGAGAGTGAAAGAAGTAAAGAAAAAACATTTGAAAGTTTCCCAGTAAAAGAAAGTTAAAACTATTTTAAGAGAAATTCGAGCACTTTAAATAGTAGTTGGTTGGTTCCATCATCACTCAGGGAATTGTCAGTCCGAGTCTTCTTCTCTGCGCACTAAACGAAGAGAAAACTCGGTGTGATTCTTAATCCGTCGTCGTCGCCTTCGTCGTCGTCTAATAATGTGTGTTCCATTTCATAATAATTTCTCCTTCCTCTTTCTCTCTCCATCTCTCTTGGATTTTCAAAGTGCGAGTAAATCTAGGACGAATTTTCATTTAATTGGACCCACATTTCTTCCCTCCTTAATTTCGCAATCTGACTCGTTTGCTCATTGTCATGCATTTCATTCCACGCTCTACGCTACGGTATGTTGAGTAGGATTATCTTCACAGGCAAAATATTATGGGTTTCATTATCCCCTCTCGGGTAGTTTGCAGGGTGGAAATTGTGGTGGTTACAGGGTTTGGGGGGAAGTAAGAAGCTGGGAGAAATGACGGGGAGAAAGTGGTAGATATTATGACCTGTAAGAAATGCAAGGCACAAGAAACTACGCCCCGCCGCCATGTTTCATACAGCACGTGGCAAGATGGCGCATATTTCTTGCAGTTTCTTGCACCTCGCATTTCATGCGTGTCTTGCCTTACAGTGTTATAAATGTAGCAAACCCGCAAAAATGAAACACTGGTAATTAAGCACATGCAAGAAATATCCACAAGAAAGTGGTTTCTTGTGGATATTTTGCCCTACAAGAAATACAAGGCGCAAGAATCTACTTCGCGCCGTCATTGTTCATACGGCGCGTCGCTAAATCGCGCATATTTCTTGCACTTTCTCCCAGTTTCTTGCACCCCGCATTTCATGCGTTATGTATCAAACCCGCAACAAACGAACACTGTTCTTCCCATTCTTTGAGATTTCTCTCCCATAATTTCTTCCGTATTCATGACTTGGCTTAAATTTCCGCAGAGGAATGACTGACATCAAGGGCAAGGGTCCCATGCAAACGTATTGGCTTTTGGGAAAGGAAGGATTCGACAAAGCGCTACCCACGCCTCCAGGATTAAAGTAAGTCCTCCTGTCACCTCTCCTTCCATCTCATCATTATTATCTTGATGACTATCCTCAACTAATTAATTGTTTACTGCTCCTCGTAAAACAGTGAATGTCACCGGTAAGTCGAAACTTTTACTTTTATTTCGTCTCCATTCATCCCAATAAAAGCAGACATTTTAGCCGCATAGTAAATATCTGGTTGATTGAAACCTCAAAAAGCCCTTCCGTTCCCTGTGTGGCCACAAACAAACAAATAAATAATTCATGAATACCTTCCCTTTTTGAGCGAACGGAACATACGATTCGTCAAACTTTTCATCATGTCCAAACCACATCATCTTTTGTTGCAAAGTGCTCCCACACAGTGGCCGCGGAACAATGTTCCCACGGTTGTTCGATGTCCCCATCATCTCCCCATGTTATATAAACCCCGCCCTCCCCTATCCCACAATGTTAAGATATCCCCACAGCTTCCGCGGCCACTGCAGTCCCACATTTTAAGGAAGAGAGAGAGGTCAATAAAATCCTCTTTTGAATTACAGCCTGGACGAGAGAGCCATAAAGTATGGGCGAACCGGAGTATGGCCGGATGACACGACGACCGAGATGATGGTGAATAGTAATAAGACCACGACGGTAACGACCACGACGAACCAGAATTCTTCATCGTCATCTTCCTCCGTAGTAAAACTGCAGAGAGAGAGGAGTGGCAGTTTCAGCTGTAAAACGGGCATGTCATCCGCCTCCTCCCCGCATCACTTGGCCCCTCCAAAGTCACCGTCAAGCTTTGCCATGAGTGGTGGTGGTGGTGAAACGATGCGGTCACTTTCTCCGGCCGAACAGGTATATACGAATTTTCGCTTTTCATTAAGTTTGGTCATTTCAGAATTTCATTTTATTTTATGATACGACCAACGTCCGTCGTTGTAAATTCATTGGTGGATAAGTTGGGGAAAGGGTTATTCTCAGCTATAGGAGAAAGTCTACATTTATCTCACTCTTAACACGCAGATTGAAAAGTTTCAATGTACACCGTCCAAAATTTTGTTGTCGTTCGTATCTACATAAGTCGTAGTAACTTATTTGCATTGTGACGCAACCCTTAAAACGTAATGAAAGGGGGCATCGGTGCGCAAATTTTATTTTGCACAATGTCCAATTATATAATAAAGTTTGGCATGCCTCCCAGGAGACACAAAAGCCACTGTTTCAAGTCCTAACTGGGTCGTCGAAAATGGGTTATTTTACTTATTTACTATCTCTTATTTACACTCCAGATCGCTCATCAACTCTTAAACGGGCGTCCCACCACGAAAGGTCTGCGGCGCCAACTTTCCCTCGACCACAGGGCGATGCCACTTCTCCTAAGGCATACTCCCCCCGTAATTTCAAAAGGTCCCAAGTCTCCCCTCCTCCGAAAGGCGCCATCCTTCGAGGAAAACCTGGAAGCAATCGTCCCTTCTCCGTCCATCACTAATCAGCAACCACCTCCTCCCACAATTTGTATCAGCACCAACACCCCGACTGCTTCCCCACCTCAGACAAGTAGCAGTAGCAGTAGTGGGAGTAATAAAACTGGTAAAATTCCCAGAGAAAGTTACAACGACATTCGTCCAGCAGATTTACCTCCATCCCGGGAAGAAACACCTTCTCCAAGGCCAACACTTTTCTCCACTTCGTTAGCCACCGCGGACACCAACTATTTTCTGAGCAATGCGACTTGTACGATTTCTTCGCCACCCATTGTCGACCAGCGGATCAAGTCTGGAGGACCAGTAATCTCGTCGGACGGAATTAGTTGCACTTCAGGTAGGGCAGAGGTCCATGCTAATCTTCTTTCAAATTCCGATCCGCCGCAAAAAAAGGAGGATGAAAATTTGCAAGTGGGGAAGACGACGACATTGTGCCAAAAAATCAATACGTCGTCATCACCATCATCATCCCTCAACAATTACGTGGTCGTTGATGCCATCACTCTCGCAGCGTCCAAAAGCAGTGGTGGAGTCACCGTGAAAGATTTGAGTATTGGAGAAAGTTCAAATTTAGGAAACAGCACTAGAATGACAAACATTTCGATGACGATGAATCCTTCCCGGGCAGCGAAATTGGCCAAGATCCTTTCCGTCGTGGAGGAAAGTGGTGGTGGTGGTGGAAACGGAAGTGGAGACAGTCCCACGTTGGAGAGAAAGTATGAAATTGTGACTAATCAAGTGTGACCTATTTTATCATCTCGACCGAATTCTACGTTAGTTTGAGAAATCACTAAAGTAAACCCTTTAGAATTTAACAAAGCGGATTGAGACTGACAAACACACAAAATTTTAATTGACTAGTCTTTTACCCACAAAATTAACCAAAAAGTCTCATCATTTACATACTTACATTCCAATCCTGTGATGTCTACGTAGTTAGTTTGTCCTTCTTGTTTGCTTTTCTGTGAGTTAGAAATTAAGCGAGAAAAGTGATTTTCCACCACAAAATCTCACCGAGTGATGATGAGCTTCATTAATTAATATAAATACTCAAAATAGTTGACAACTCTTACTTCAGTATTTGCTTTGAACAATACTTTATATTTAACTCCCTATACTCTTCTTCTCTCGTGATTCGTTACGAAACCTGTGTGAAAGTTATCATGTCAAAAGTGTGATTTATGTATTGCTTAACGGTGTACCTGTCAGTAAATGGATATTCGTACGTATTATGTAAGCAAGTGATAAGTAAGTAAAGCAGCGGTATGAAGTTATTTCTGAGCGAATGATACATATTATGAGATGAGATTGTTGTTATGAAATATGAATAAATTCAGATTACTTATTTATCGGATCTTTAATGCCGGGGGACTGAATTATGTATCTATTATTAAATGAAATATTTACGTCATATAAGCAGTGGCCGCGGAAGCCGTGGGGACATCGGGGGACATTGACATTGAAGGAAAGGGGAGGGAGGGGTTTATATAAGATGGGGAGATGATGCGGACATCGAACAACCGTGGGGACATTGTCCCTCTTTTGTCCCCTCAAGCTTCCGCGGCCCCTGCATTTAAGGCACGATTTGTGTATGCATTTACGAGGTGGAGTTACGTAAGGTAAGTTGATTTAAAGCGTCGCACATACATAATTGCATTTCCCAAATTCATTTAGAAAATATCCAATTTACACCGAAACTTGATTATCATGCACTAATGCATCCTGCTACAAATTTCATCACGATCATTTCATGGGATACGATACGATACGATCACAAATCTTCACTTTCTAGCCAAACTTTCACCGACCTTTTTGGTCCTTCAACTACCAAAATTTTGGGGTAAAGTCCAATCGTCATCTATTCAACCCTAGTAGAAATGTACGTCTGCCGGGAGCAGAATCTTGTCCAGTTGTCACTTGCAAGGCCACTTGAGATCGAAAAGTTGGCACGATTATTATTAGTCCACGCTACGGATAGATAATTATATTCTTGGTCGGCGTCGTGGTCTGGTCATGTGGCTGCTCTGCTTTTTCAGGACGGATGTTTACCATGCTTTCACCAACCAAACCAAGAGTCGTCTGCTGTCACTCAATCATTACGTGTATTTGTTATGTCCCAAAGAGTCACAATACACGAGCCGCGTGTCGTCTCGTCTCGAGCTCCCTCTCAAAAAGGCAAACTCGCAAAAATTCCTGTCTTCTCCGTTACGTAAAACACTTCAGAATCACTTTGATATTCAGGAAATTTCACAAAAGGCTGGTTATGTACATAAGAACGCATATTATGCAAGAAGTCGTCCCGCGATAAGAGGTTTATGTAGGTCCCTACTTTCCTGCGTGTAAGTGAGTGGCACGTCTTTCCAATTTCGTGGTTTCCAATCTGACTCGTAGAAGTCAACATTTTCCGAAAACTTTCCACATTAAGGAGAAGCGAAACGATGAAATGAAAGCGATCCATAGCCATCAATACGTAGGAAAAAAGAGGCATGACGAGGTAAACAAAAAACTCATCAAGACGTCCCACGCAGTTGTGGGGTGGGAATCGTATATAGAATCCTAATGACTATTTCAAGCGTGGGGATGATTTTATGCAGGAAATGAACTTTTTGTAAACGACGAAGTTGTAATCTTAATTGTAATGAACAAAAATGCTTAAATTCAAATTTTTTGTTAACCCCTTTGTGACCGAAATAATTGAAATTTGCTTTCCTTTGGGGACCAGAATTTTATCAGTTAGTTGTTGCTACATAACCAATTTAATTTTACCAATAGTGTAGCTACGTCACCAAAATGATTTTAAAGTAAGCGTAGTTACGTCACCGATTTCACAGTGGGTGTGCAAACCATAAAGGACCGAATTTATTTCGGCAACTTTTGATGATTTTATTTAACATTAAGCATTTATTTATGCATATTAGTAAAAATTATCTGCAGTTCATTACAATAATATTAAGTTATTGATTCATACATTTTTATAGTTTAGCAAGGTCCAAGTGGTTTTCACTGATCTTGACCGGAGTTAGTTAGTTCATGCTCAGAAATAAGCGGACCCGTATTTTTTCGTTTTCTAAAATGGACATGTTTTCGCCCGTGGTGGAATTTAAAAAATCCGCCAAAGTCAGGATTTTTAAAACGCTGTAACCTTTCGAATTTTAATCCGATTTCAAAAATTAAACACAATTTTTGCTCAGAATTACTACCCTGAAAATATAAAACCTACAGTTGCCCTTACTTGAGTCAGGCCAAGTTGTGCTTATCACTCAATCCGACTTTTTGCATGAAATTTTATCGCAAATGCATATCAATAAATTAAAAAATTAAATTTGATTTTTCCAAATTAAATTCATATTCTTCTATTAGTAACAATTACCATCCTGTGTAACAAATTTCAGGTTCCGAAGATTACAAAAAAAGTATGGGTTACCCAATAGGGTCTCTCTATGGGAAAATTGTTCCTATTTTAATTAATATTCTTCTATTACCAACTTTTCTACCAAACTTCAGCTCGATTTGATGAATTTTAAAAATCGGTATGGGTCACCCCCTCGGGTCCCTCCAGACGAAAATTTTTGAAATTTTACTTTGTATTCCTTCATTATAAACCATTAGCAACCTCTATGCCAAATTTCAGCTTTCTAACACAATTTTGAAATTTTGGTGCGTAATACCCCACCCACTCCGATGACCCCCACCGGTCAACCACTTGACCTATTTCACCCATCTTCGAACTCAACTCCTCATTTGACCCATACTATATGTGTGCAAAATTTCAAGTCGATAGGATTATTAGACGGCAGTTATCGCAAACCAGACAGACAAACAGACGGACAGACAGACGGACATGACGGGTACATAAGCCCTGACTCGGGATAAAAAATCAATTTAAAAAAAACTTTTAATTTTCAAAAAATTATCGTTTTTTGCTTCTTTAAAAATTAAGTTTATTTTAAATTCCGCCACGGGCGAAAACATGTCTATTCTGGAAAACTCCAAAATACGCTTATTTCTGAGCGTGAACAATTTAAAATTAGTCTTACAATGCATTGCAGCGAACTACAGTTGTAGTTTTTGCAGATATATAGTTTTTGGTAATGTGCATAAATAAATGGTTCGTGTTAAAATTTTGTAAAATAAAATTTTGACTTGTATGCATGTGTGTATTTGGTCTTGAAAATTTTTCCGCAGTACACAAATGTGTGTAGTTGGTCCCCAACGTAACGGGGAAATAGTACACAAATATGTGTACTTGGTCCTCTACGGAAAGAAAAAAACTACACAAATATGTGTAGTTGGTCCCCAACGTAACTACAAAATAGTACACAAATGTGTGTACTTGGTCCTTAACGGAAAGCAAAAAAGTACACATATTTGTGTACTTGGTCCCCAAGGGAAAGCAAGAAACTACACAAATATGTGTAGTTGGTCCCTAACGGGTTAAGGGCTTTAAAGTTATGAAAAAGTTAAAAACATCATAAACTATTTTTTTGAAATCATTTCATAGCAAAAATTAGTATACCTTTGTAAGTCTGGTATACAAATATGTAGTCACGTAGTTCTTGATTTCTCGGTATTTAATTTGCTACCGCTTAGTATTAAAATTATACCGGTTCGTAAAATTTTGCTACGGATATGGTAAAAATTTTATACCGAGCTATTACCACATGGTATTACTTATTAATACCACTTTAGTTGAGTTATATATGAATACCGCTTGGTATTATTTTAATCCTGCATGTTTAAGAGTGTAAATACATACTCCGTAATCAGAAATCATAGTAAGTAAATAAACAGAAAAGTGAATCCGAATCCCGAAAGGAATCCGAAAATAGGAAGTCTTAATTGGTCAAAGAATTCCATAACACAATTTTTTCATCACGAGTTAATACCCCGTCTTAAAATATCAACGATTGCATAATCACCACCATAAATAAGCTCCTACTTAATTATATATTTGTATCTTTTGACTGAACCCCTTTCTTAATCCGCCTCCTTCCAAATCCTCCCTTTTGCTTATTTACTCCTCATTCTCACTCCATGAAGAATGGGGCCTAATTAATCATTAAGTAATGTAGCTCCCTTTTCTTCTTGCCTCCACTTAAGCTGCAGTCAAGGGAGGATTTTGCCCAAATAAATCTCAACTTCCCATCCCAACTTTCTCTCCGAAGGTTCTTCTCCTCCCATATTTTTTTATACTTTATTTACTCCGCGTCTGTGTCCATGTCACTTTAAATTGGGTGGGTTTTTTGGCAACATTAATTACGAGATTGTTGTTCTGCCTTTTGGAATGTTGACGTAATTCCGGGTTTCGATTAGACACCAGTGGCCGCGGAAGCTGTGGGGGCATTAACATTGTGCGATAGGGAGGGAGGGGTTTGTATAACGTGGGGAGATGATGCGGACATCGAACAACCGTGGGGACATGGTCCCTCCGTTCCGCGGCCACTGTTAGACACTGATCCCCCTATTGAAAAGAGGAGTAAATTGAATACGCCGGCTTAATTTAGATAGTGAGCCACATAAATAAATAGGTGCAGGAGAGATCTGGATTTAGATCGGTCTACGTACACATCACGACTGACCTTGTTTTACGCAGTTCTTCTCCATTCTTAGCTTGATTAATTTCATTCCGTTTTAATCCATCCAAACCGACACGTGCGGGTTTCTCTCTCTTTGATGGTGAAAGTATAAAGAAAGATGGGATGAAGTCCCGATGAGGGATTTATGCTATTTCAAGGACTAGTTTAGGGTTAAATTTGTGTGGGTTGGGTACTAAAAGTGTATCAGCTAAGCAAAAATGATGCCCCAGTGACGCAGATCGTGTCATGTAATGACGAAATATTTAGGTAAAAGTTTTACGTGAGATGGGGAAACCCGTGTTTGCAAATTATCTATTTCACAAACCACTTGGATTGTCGGATTTCGTTTGAAAGTCATGTGTGGTGGTCGATATGTGTAGTTGAGAGCACTTTTTTTGGTTTGACATGAGCCAAAAAAAGCGGAGAATTGGCATTGACACAAAAATCCGGAAGATTTTTTCTCCTTTTTTACAAACAAACTTTCGCCATAAATGGCATGAGATGTTGCAAATTGGTGAAAGTGGAGCTGTTTTTTTTTACTTTAAGACGTATGGATGCACTTATTTCGAATTCATCTCACATTAATTTAGATTTCTCAACAAATACAAAATTCATAAAATCAGAATATTCCTTATTTAATTATTTAAGACGAATAATTGCAAACTTAATTCACGAAGCTAATTATCTTCGTTATTTTTTACATTAACAATTCTCTCTGTTCGTAATTAGCTACAGGAACGGACTGCCTAAGGTTACGGTGTCAAATTCGTGTCAACCGAATTAGT